AATTAACCACATAACACTGATCCATGTTTACAGCTTTTGTGTACGGCAGACTTGATCTCAAGGTGGGTCCCTCCGGAACATTGTCGGCTGTATTGCCTAAACTTATTTCATTTCTAACTTTATCACTCCATCGCTGCTCTCTCATTGCCTTGCATTGTTCTTTCCTAACCGTTTTGGATCTGTAATTAGCTGGACGCCCTGGTTGAGACTGTAGCTGCTCCTCAGCATCCTGTAAACAAAATTTACTAGTTATATAACAAATCACTGACAAATGGAGACCCTCATTGAAATAATGTAGAAAATCGTTATGAAAACATCCATACCTGTGATTCACTTCGTCTAGCCTTCTTTCCTACGGCCACGTTGTTCTGCAGAACAGCAGTTTTCCTTTTCTAGTCAGAGATTCTCTCGGCATTGCTGCATTACCGAATAATTGCGTGACTAATGCTAAAATTTCAGTTCATATTAGCATGCTTCGGAAAAATATCCGAAAGTAGTCGAGCTTTCTCTTTAATGCAAATGCATTTTTCGCTAAAGTTGTGCACATGGATATGAGAATTTAAAACAATGTCTCTGAATAATGAGGTCGCTCACTTGTAAACACGATATGGGGAGTAACAAATTAGTACGTTTGAGGCCCAATTTTATTGACTTCCACATTTTCAATAACCTTGAAAACTGCAGGCCGTATACAATGAAAATACAACTTAGCACTGACGATTTTTAAAAAAATCTATCGAGCAGTTTTTAAAATATTACAATATTTGTTGGCATAGACCAAATTATACGCAAAAATGACAACAAGAGCATCTGAATGCAAAGGCATCAAACCCTTTTTTCTCACAATCGGTAAGAGCAATCTCGCCAACTTTTTACATACAATTTGAAGTGGAATAAAGCAACTACGTGGTATAGCGGCATTCCCAAGGCGCATCGTTTTCTTTAGATATCACCAAATTATCTCGACAACAATGTTTTTACTGTATTTTTAACCCTCAAAACTTCATCCTCAAAATTTTCAAAAATGCTCTCATTGAATTTGTTCAAACTTGGCCAACATCTAGGCAATAACAAGAGATAAAAGCTCCAGTGAGCGATTTACGAAAAAACCTCATGGTACTGAGAAATACGAACGAAAGCAAAAAACTGTCATGACGTCATTACGTTGCTATGGAAACTCCGATGTCAACATAACACCAATCACAACAAACTTTCATCTTTTTGTAATACAGCTGTGGTAATTGTTTTAACATAACGTTGCTCGTGGCGTCGTAGTTAATTTTCAAACTTGAGCAGTATGACTTTTGAAAAATCCAGTCGAGCCACCTTAAGTCAACCTTTTGTCTGTGATATTTGACTCTTGGTCGTTTGACCCTTGGTCACAGCTTCATCATAGTAAACAGCTCTCTTCAAGTTATAAATCGTTTTACCATCAGCATCCCATCAATTATTACTTATTTTCATGAAGTTTTCATCAACATATTTCTTGTTTAAAGTGTCTGTGTGATTGATCGGGTCAACAAGATTGATTGTTTTGTCATTGCTCTAATCGAAATCACTGCCAATGATTTTGCTCGTTTGATTGTCTTTGATGAATTTTTTGGCACAAGATCGTAATTTAAATAGTCTGATAACACAGTATGACTGTTTATTTTTATTTCAGTCGGATATCAAAATTACCGTCATTGAAACTGCAATAAGCGTGTAAGTCTCCTGGCCTTTAATAACAACACCACAAACCAAGTTCGAATGAAGATTTATTGTAGCCGACGTGCTTGGTACTAAGAGTGTGCATACAAACAGCGTGGGTTGAAACTAAAACGGTAAAAAAGCAAAAAAGTTACAAGTTGCGACTAAGGTAAATTAGAGTAAGGAAATAACAAAACTGCAAAACGAGGACTGTGAAGTACACTTACATTGTTTCGGCCAGAGAAAACTGCTGTAAAGCGGACTGCGAATAACGCGAAGAGACTTGCAAGAAACTAAACAGAACTGCGCTAAGCGCGGACCAAAATGAACTGCCCAAAACTGTACTGCAAAACTACGATATGAAAAATACGCTAGAACATGCGGAAAATAAAACTATAGAAACTTAGAAAGGCGCTAATGAAGATGAAACAGCACAGAAACGCTAACGAGGGCGCGAAAACTGACAGAAAGGAATAAACACTTAAATTAACGCCAAAAAAAAAGACTAAACAAATGGACGAAAAGAAGTATAAACTAATTTGCGTACGCAAAGGAAAAATAAATTACGCAAGAACGAATAATAGAAAAAATGTTACACTTGGATCTTACAATCATCAGTGAGCTTAAAACCAATACCTGGAGGTCCCTCTTGACCTCTCGAAATTTTATCAATATACAATTTTGCATGTTCAATGAAGATTCCATTATGTAATATGTTTAGATATTTCCGTAGAATTTCTTTTGATTTTTTTTTCACGGGTTTGTCAACGTATAGAAATGAAAACGGGTTTTTCTTTTCTTTAACATGTGGACTTTTTTGTCACCCAACTCTCTTGATATCATGTTTCTTTCATTGCTAATGGGGAAGTTATAAACAGCATCATGACTGCAATTCAGGCGAATGTCTTTCGGTGTTTTATAAAAGCCTGTAAAAGACAAATTAACAACAAAGCAGTTTTTCTGTCTGCCTCTAATAAAATAATCAAACCAACCTTTATATGTCTTTATTTCTTTTTTTTTTCTGAGATAAAACCATCGAATATGGCTATTTTCTGTGAATTCGTGTTCATTTCATCTACTGGAATGATATCACCATTATTGAAATGAAAGACATCATAACTAATTTGTTTGCTCACATCTGTCAAATTATCAATAATATGTTTGTGCTTGCTTTGTTCGATATTTTTAGCATAAAGATACAACTTGTCATAAAACAGCATCGGTGCCATCAACATGCGATACAATAAATTTGTCTTGCCTCCACCTTTGTCGTCATTGAAGCCATAATTGGGGATGTTCATTTATATATGTTTGTTAAATAGTTTCAGATAAGTTGAGATAAGTTGAGATAAGTTTATAGAATATACATATGTAAAATGCACATAGAAAAGTGAAAAAGACGCAGTGAATCAAAGATTAAAGCTAAAAGAAAAAAACTATCCAAGTGAGACATTTGATGAAACACTATCGATATGAGAAGCAGAATCTTTATGATGATATTGCAGAGGCATACAAGCCTGTCATAGACGTTCAGAGAGACGTGAAGGATACTATTGACAAATAAAAAAACAAGTTGAAGTAATTTAAAAACTGCAAGGTAATCAGAAAACAACTGTTAAGGGCATAAAGTTTGATTCTGGGACAGAAACTGGTCAAAAGCTGCCATCATAAAATGAAAAACATCAGAAGTCAAAATCACTAGCTTGGAAGTGATGAAATCTATTAAGTATCACTCAGCTGGTTTGATGATAAGAGATTTATATTGAATGATAGTGTACAATTATATGCATATGTACATTATAAAATTCAAATAAATACTTCTTTACTTTATGAAATATCAGCAACCTCCAAGTGGAGAGGATATAATGCATCTTTATTATATAAAATTCTATAACTTTAACTTCAGTGATTTTCTGCATTTATCAAGAAAGCCCATTGCTGGAGAAATGAGATTATACATTTCTAACGTGAAAGTGCGTTAACAAACGCAAGTAGGCAAGGCAAGCTTCCACTCCTAAGTTAACAGGTAATTCTGAGAACTTTTGCCTTTTAAAATCCACTGGTCTGAGAGATCACAATTCTTAACTCTTCGTTGTGTCACTTTCATAGTATGCCTTGACATCGGATGCATTTCTATGCAAACAAATCAAGGAGAGGGCAGATTGTACTATCTTAGCCTTTTTCCACCTCTTCCTTTTGATCTAACATTTGTTCTCGGATTGATATTGGACTCTCTTGGCGGACCTTTTCTTCTGCCCCTTCCACGACCCCAATTTCCTCTCTTTTCAGTTTTTTCCCGCATTTTTCTCTTCCCATCTAAATTGCTTGTCGCTGGCGCTCCCTCGTTTGACATCATAAGTGCCGCCTCTTGACGCTTTGGAATTTTCAAGCAGATGGGCGATCAAGGAAAGATATTAAAAAAAAACAAAGAAACGATTAAAATTTAAAAAAGACCGCATCGCAGTAGAGCAATTTTCCATCGAGTGTCAAAAGTAATCAGGAATTGGTTTGGTTTTTTATTTATTTCGTCATGTGATTGGCCAGAAAACTCGTTCCACTTTTCCAACCAATCAGATACAAAGCTAAACCAATAGCGAGCTGGTCTCTCTTTACCTTGAGTTCTCATTGGCTCGAAGAGTAATATCCTTTCTTTTTATTGGCCGTTGTAATTACTCTAGTTTTGGTTTTACCACACTCAATCGAAAACCGCTCTTCTTTAGCATCGATGTTCTGAGGAACGTTTCTGCTATCACCTTTCTTTTTGAACGAATGTGTCCTCTCTCACTGACTTGTAAAGATTGCCTTCAAGTTATTTATTTTCGCACTAAATTCAAAATAGGAAGGTAATATCGAACATAACTGTTACTGAAAACACCAGAGAAATCACAACGACCAATCAGAAGAGAGAAAGATACCCTAAAGAGCCAATGAAAACTCGAAGTAAAAACCAAACTACCTGGAGCGCCGGAAAACGGGAGCGACCAAGTCGTGGTTTGTTTTAGCTCCTTATCTAAGTGGTTAAGAAGGTGGCGCGAGTTTTCCAAAACTGCAATTTGGGCAAAAAAAGCGACAAAGAATATGGAATATTTATAAACAGTAACACTATATATTGATTCAAGCCATGGGTAATAAAATACAGACATGCTACAACTAACCTTCATAAGTGTATGAGCAAAATGAGAAACTGAAGGATGATAATGTCTGGATAGCCTATTGAGTTCTCGCAGACAAGAGTTTTCCGCCCCGCTGTATGGCGAATTTCTCTTTGAGGGCTTATAGGTTTGACTTTTCTGAGCCCCGCTCATACGTGTTTAAATCTTTGGGGGCATTGCTACTTCTAAACGGCGTGGTTGTGGCTCTTTTCTGGCTGATAAAACCTCCTCGGTCGAGATTTTGTCCTCATCTTCTTCCGACGAGACGTCCACAAAATATTCTTCATCGTCTTCCTCGTGCGGTTATCGAGAATTACAAAATTAGTTTTGAAGGCCAAAATCGACGAGCAACTTATTTTCTACCTCTTTGCCGGAAGAAGAAAAAAATTCAGTCAACCCTTTCTATTCCAATTCATGATAACACACTTTCTCTTCTTAACGTAGGAATCTTTAAAACGATTTGCATTATCTTTGGAGCAATGGCGAGAATTCATTCTTAAAGTTATATTTCATCTCCTTTTTCTTGGCTTGGGGATTAATAATTGGGGATTATAGAGAATGTAAATCTAACTTTTCCATTTTATTGAATACTATCCTATTCTGTTTTACTAGAAGTTTATGTACGTGAATGGCCCAGATATGTATTTGCACTGACGACATCGATCTGGAAAGCTCTGAATGGTGGAAAACTCGGCCGCGTTAGGAAGAACTAAACTGGCAGAAATGTGGTTCATCTCTGTCTGATCGATGGTCAGTGGAATCAAAAAGATGCGGATCGTAAGTTCATGTGACTCGACGTGTGTCACATGCCCCGCCCTTTCAAATATGAAACAAACAAAAATTGAAACAAACGTATAAAAAAAAAAGGATAATAACAACGACAAGAACATCAAACGTAACGAAAACAGCAAGAGCTATTTATTTCAATGTTGACCTCTATATCCAAATCACACAATGATGTTAAGAGGCACAAAAAAATATATAACCAAAAATAACTGAAATTGAAATAACTGAAGTTGTTAGACTAGCGCTGTTAAAAGTGGTTACTGTTGCAATTCTCTATTACAAAGCTGATTCCTTTAGAGTGTCAGCTTGGATGAAAACTATCACCGCATGTTTGCACGTATGTTACACCAAACGTATGCGCTGATATGCACCCTTTTCAGCTCTTTCTCAGTTCTGTCTGAATGGAACAGGATATCAAAAGCTTTAGGAATAAACCGGCATGCACTTAAGTAGCCCACTTAAACGATATCAACTATGTTTAACTATGTTCTTACGAAAAAGGTTGAAAATTTTGGTATTTCATCAAAGCATCATTTATCAGATGATAAACTAAGCTGCTCTCGTCAATATTTCCTGTATGCGGTTTAGGAAATGTAAAGAGGAGTTTACACATAAATTAGTTCTGAGAATTTAGATTAGAGTTTCCTTAATGGAGCTATCAATCTTGTTACGTTCATCTTGTGTCTAGTTCTTCGACCCAACATCGATACTTGAGCTGCTATGGCAGATATGGTTGATCTCTGATCTGCTATCACGCGTATTCACATTGGCTGACTGCGTGTTCTTACGAACGTACGCAGTGATCTGAGCCCCTATGAGCTCTTTCTTATTTTTTTCAGGACGGAACAAGATAATGAAAGCTTTAGGAATAAACATGCAACCAAGCAGGCCAAACGAATCAACTAGTGTCGTGCTGCAGGCTATAACAGAAACATACCAAGCATCCTGCACTGAGAAATCCACCGAGTAATAACACAGTGCAGACAACAAAATTATGTAAAGCGAGAAGCCGATGAAGCGCGCCTCGTTGAAGTTATCTGGCACTTTGCGAACTTTGAATGCATAATAAGACGAAAGCAATGACAGCAACAACACATACGAAAAGACCATGAAATATAACGCTTTTCCGACCGACGACCCGTACAGTTTACACGTGTAGAAGATGAATTGGGTCGGTTGTATCTTCTCCTTTCTGAATGGCGGATCCGAAGCGAACCACGCGGTTAACAGCACGATGTCAACAATGTTCACTAGAGCAACCAAACCGACTTGGTATTTCACCCTTGAAATATAACTTTGGAAGGGCAATTCTGAACTGTCGACTTGGAAAAGGACGAAAATGCGAACTGACTTCAGCCACAATATGGATACAAAAGTGGTGTAGATTGCGTACCGAGAAAACTGAATCAAGCGACATATAGAATCAGTTGGCTTTGTAATGCTCAACAGCGCCAGAGTAAAACTGGAGAAGATTGTAGCAAGAAGGAGAAAACTGAGCTGTTTATTCGAGGCTTTCACAATTGGTGTCTCGCGGTATTTTACAAACACAAGTAACATAGCCACGGTCATGCAAAATCCTAATGCTGTTGTGCAAGAAAGGAATACACCAGCTGCATCTCTGAAGTGAAGGTTTTTCACTGGCAGATCTTCGCATTTGGTTCTATCATCGTTCGGCTTTTGTTTATGCGGGCACTCCGTGCAGTCGGTAGATCCAGGCGACTTGCTGACTGTGCCCCCCGGACATGTAACGCACTTCCAACAACATGAAGTGGTTACCTCTTGCCTAGTTCCGGGGGGACACACTTGACTGCAGAATGAGGACAGTACCTTTGTAGTAAAAGTAGCGTTTGCCCATTTGATCGCGGAGTCGTTCAGCGCCAACCTTGGCTTCTTATTACTATTCCAGGATCCTACCAAGGCCTTCTTTGAATCTCCATTGCTATTTATTTGGACGTTCACAATTTCAAAGAAAGAATTCTTGGGATCACCTTCGCGGTCAAATTCTACGACGCCAGTGAGTCCTTTAAAACTGACATTTTTCAAGTGGGACAACAGATCCTTTCCGTCAGTTGTCAATGGCTTTCCATCAGAGCATGCTTCCCCCGAAAGTTCGCGGTTTAAAGTGCGACAACTAAATTGCTTTTCTAATGGGAATGCCACGGCAAAGACGGCGTCTATAAGGTAGCCAAGGTAAGGGTCGAACAGTATGGAAACTTCATTTGGTGACAAAGGTACATTAGTGCACTGTGGGTCGGCTGCGCTGTCTGCGTCAGAGGTGCAATTCCGGAATTTTTTCCAGAATTCTTCCCACCACGGATTCCTTCCTAAACGAGTTTTATTCGGCGTTATAGAGTACAAGTAGTTCAGGAAAGTTTTATCTTTGCGATCACGTGGCTGAACGCCAAGAGAACCATCCAGTAGACGAAAATACGGTCCAAGCAGTCCACTATCCTCTGTACTCGTTCCATCACCGAGAATCCAGGTCCGTTTCCCAAGCTTTTGCCTGTGAACTTCCTTAAAGAACAGCTTCGCATATCCTCCAAAGACCCACACCACAATGACTTTGACATTGCTCTGCTGTTTAATACGTGACACAATCTGTCTAAGATCAGTGGCAGCACGAAGACGCGGAATAAACTCTGAAAAGGCCAAGCAAAAGGTTCCTCGATTATACGCCTCTTTCTGTAACGCAGAGACGCCAAACCGCCCGTAAGAATCATCCAGAGCTACCGTACCAATATATGTCCATTTGAAATATTCAAACAGATCTGCCTGTACTTTCGCTTGTTGCCTGTCAGGCGGAACTGTTCTTAAGAAGTATGGATATTGATCGGAACTAAGCTCGTCACTCGTCGCAGCAAAGCTTATTATCGGGATTTTGGCTATGCTGAGAAGATTCGAAATCTGAACAGCGCTGGCTGAGTCGTCCGGTCCAATTATTGTAGAAACAGGTGCAACATCATCTTTGCTGTAGCAAGAAGTTGTTTCGTTTTCCATGCTGAAATTTCTGTTCGTATACATATGATACCAATCTGCATCTCGCACAAACTCGTATGTTTCTTTAACAGCAATAGACACAGTTTCGCAGTAGTCACGGATGTCGAAGCCGAGAGTAACATTCGGAAGCAACGAAGGGTCATTGTTGATTTGTTCGATCGTGAAGATCATTGCTTCAGCGTGACCGAAACCAACGGGAAAGATGTCTACACCGCATTTGTCGTTAGAATCCTTGTGATGTAACACTGTGAGTCCTCCAAGCATGACATCACCAGCTTGAAAAGCTCTCTTAAATTCCTTCAAGGCGGCGAGTTGGTCAATACAAAACAACCAAACAACTATTCGAGCAAACATCGTGAAGAAGCTAAAATAAACATCAGTCGGTTTCGAGTTGGTTTCAAGTTATCTATTTCAACGGTCTGATGTCATCTCGTGAAGGAAATACGACTTGCGGTTAATGTTGCGTCAGCGAAATCGCAAGACATTGGACTCTAATCTAGGGCCATTAAGCTCGGGCGATTTTTCTTTCGGTATTCGTAATACATGCTTTACTAGGGTGTTTTTAAGGGCCTTTTTTTCAATTGGATATGTTTGTGTTTGTTACTTTAAATCTATGTACCTGACAAGGCTGGACAAATGTAAGTACTATTGATTTCGCCGCCCTTTATCTGGCTTTTTTGGTTAGAAAAATATTCGTTTTTAATACTCTTTAATTTTGCAATTGCAGCTTCAGATTACCACAATATTGTTTTCAATAAAATCCTGAAAATCCAAATGAATGTGAATGTGTCTGTGTTGCTTATGTAGTCATTCTTTTAACTTCGCATAACCGGTTTTATACGGTTGTCCACGTTCTATTTCTTTTCCCCAGTGATCTCCTTTTCAAAATTCGATACTTTCACATATGGAAGAGTAGAATAGGAGATGGCTGTCCGAGACCACTTTGAAGTAAAAGCCAAAGCACAAGTGAGGCTGGTTTTCACTTGCGACGGAGTCGTAGTCGGAGTCGTAATTAGAAGCGTAGAGCGATATGATCCGGTGAAAATCAAACCGACGGAGTCAGAAGCAGAACACCAATTCTGCCTATGACACCGTCGCTTACGATCTAGTGAAAACTGCATTGTCGGAGTCGGAAGCGGAAGCGGAAGAATAAACCAATCACAATGCTCGATTCCAGGCCCGCAAAAGTACAAATTTTGGCGCCAAAGACAACATGGCGGACGAAGAGGAGCTTGTGCTTTGGCTCTTATTAATCATTATTTTGCGCAGGCAGAGACAATACAGGAACAATATCGTTCGAAAAAGAAAGCGATTTTGTTTTCGTGATATCTGTCGACTTCGAGCAGCTTTGGGAGAGTATATTAACTTCGTCAGGGAACTACGACTTGGTGATCGTGAATTCTGCTTTCGGTAGGTTTCGAGTATTTTAACTTTTAATTTCGTAATTTTACAGTCAAATTCACACGTTTAAATTACGGCTATTTGTGCATTTTGGAAAGATAACAAATGCAAATTTCTCGCCATTTCGATATATACGCATGACGCCAGAACGCTTTGAGCACTTACTGAGTTTGGTTGGACCGCGAATTACCAAAACAAATACAAGGATGAGAGAGGCTATCAGTGCAGCTGAAAGACTAACACTGACGCTCCGGTATTTAGCAGGGTTGTGTAACAAGTTAAAACTGTTACAGTACGTTGGCAAAGTTTGGATGACGGCCTTTCGCTTCTGTAATTTAAACATACCCGATGAAAGTCCTGCTATCTTTGCAACGTCTTCCCATGCGTTCTTTTTCGTATTATTATCTTTAAAGTATTTGCATGTTTTATCGTAAAGTACCGGGAAACGTCTCACCGCCTCTGCAATTTTTTCGTCGAAGGAAGCTGCCATGTTGTTTGTCGAATTGTACTCGGAGGACCTGAGAACAAGCATTGTGATTGGTTTATTCTTCCGCTTCCGACTCCGACAGTACAGTTTTCACTAGATCGTAAGCGACGGAGTCATAAGCGGAATCGGAAGAAAATGGAAACGTTCTGATCATTCCGACTCCGATTCCGTCAAGCTTATGACTAAGCTTATTACTCCGTTTTTCAATTTTCCCTAGGTCATAAGCGCCCTTGCGACTCCGACTACGACTCCGACTACGACTCCGACTCCGTCGCTAATGAAAACCAGCCTTTAGAAAGACAAGAGGTTAATGATGTAATACATAAGGGACTTTCCGGAGGAAATGAATCATCACTTTGCTATCGCTCTTAGGATTACCAGTAAAAATTGTCAGTAAAGTTTGTCAGTAAAGTTTGTTAGTTACGTCTGTCAGTGAAATTTGTCGGTATGTTTTTGGATCTAAAAAAATATCACATTATGTCATAGAATAATGAATTGTAATTCTGAAATTCATGACGCATTAGAGAAAATTAGATGTCAGTTTTGGGTGAACAAATTCAAAAAAATACTGAGAATAAAAAATGTTGTAGGAATATAAAAAACTTGAAAACGTTAATGGATAATATGTTTGTGTCTATTGAGGTCAAGTTGATGGATACGACCCTGTTAATGAATTTGTTGATTTTTATGATAATAGACGCAAGACAATGCGAAAGAATAAAATATGGACTGGACCACTGGACCTTTGGACTAATGAACTTTTTTGGGGGGACTATTTTTGAACCATTTTTTGGACCTTTTTTTAATCAATTTTTGGACCATTTTTTGAACCATTTTTTGGGGGGAAGTAGACCATTAGTACTACGGTAGCGCTTGTGAATACTATGCTTAAGAACGGAAGTCCGTGATCTCTGTCTTGTGCTAAAATCAATGACAAAAGGAAGGTAAATAAATTAAGCAATAATATACTGTATTCACAAAGGGAAACGTAAAACAACTGGTGGATGATTCATGCTAACCAGTGGGTATCATTAAGCACTAACACGAGTCGACTTAAAAGGCACACGCGTAACCCATCAGTAGAGGATCGAAAACGGGAATTGGCAATATTTTCAATAACAATTTTAGTCCAGTGTTTAGGTGCCAGTTTCGCATTCCCATGACACAAAATGAAGAAACGCTGTGACCCAGCGCAAAAATTTTGACATAACAATAGTCAATCGAAAAACCGCTCAAAATAATTTGCATGATCCATTAAAACTCCATTAGTCAGTAGCATTTATTAATACAAAAACCTCCCACCCCCACCCCCAGCCCATTCCTGCCCTCCCTCAGTGATAACAATTTGCCTCCCTGATTACTGATAGAATGCATCCGACCCCTTTCTAAGTACTAATGGTCTACCTCTCCCCCAATAAAATGATCCAAAAAACGGTCCAAAAAGTGGTCCAAAAAGTGGTCCAAAAAGTGGTCCAAAAAGTGGTCCAAAAAGTGGTCCAAAAAGTGGTCCAAAAAGTGGTCCAAAAAGTGGTCCAAAAAGTGGTCCAAAAATAGTCCAAATTAGTAGTACATAGTCATAAATGTTTTTATCTATGATTAACATAAAAATCGTTTTAGTTCTTTTCATATATATATATATAAATAAATTGGAAATTGAAGCATTTTTATCAAATATATATATATATATGTGTGTGTGTGTGTCTTAAAAAATACTTCAGTTTCCAATTTTACGAATCAAAAATTACTGAGTTTTATTCCATCTAGCTGACCCGCGGAAATTATTGGGTGCTGCAGCTTCATCATCGTATTGTACTCTATTGAGGTCTATTATCGTTTTGTCTTTTGCATCCCATCGCCCGTCGTTTGATATTTTCAATAATTGATGATCATTTGTCATTTTACGATATATTGTTTCGCAAAAAAAGTTTATTCACAGCGTCATAATCGTTACTGAGGTGTGTACATTTTTTATTCTATAATTGTTCGTGGAAATATCGACCTGAAAAGGTTCAGAGCCATAGAAAATACTGTTTGCAATAGTGTCAACATATTTTTTGTTTGAAGCATCAGTCGGATTGTGGGCATCACACAAATTGATCAGTTTGTTTCCTTTCATGTCGAGGCCGCTTGATAAATCGAGAGAGAAGGCTTTGCAATGGAAAGAAAAAAAAAAACGAGTGAGATATGAGATGACAAGCCTGTCATAAATGTTCAGAGAGGAGTAAAGGATACTATTGACAAAAAAAAACTAAATGAATTAATCGAAAAACTGCAAGATAAACAGAGTAAAATTGTTCAAGCCATAGCATTCATTTACAGTAACGTCCATTCCTAGGTTAATAGGTAATTCTGAGAACTTTTGCCTTTTGAAATCCACTTTCCAATTAGTAACTATTCGTTGTGTCGCTTTCATAGTATGCCTTGACATTGGATGGATTTCTACGCAAACAAATCAAGGAGAGGGCAGATTGTACTATCTTAGCCTTTTTCCACCTCTTCCTTTTGATCTAAAATTTGTTCTCCGATTGACATTGGATTCTCTTCGCGGACCTTTACTTCCGCCCCTTCCACGACCCCGATTTCCTCTCTTTGTATTCCAGTTTTTCCCCGTCTTTTTCTCTTCCCATCGAAGTTGCTTGTCGCTGGCGCTCCCTCGTTTGACATCATAGGTGCCACCTCTTGAAGCTTTGGAATTTTCAAGCAGATGGGCGAACTAAGAAAAATATTAAAAAGACAAACAAACGATTACAATTAAAAAAGACAGCATAGCAGTAGAGCAATTTTCCATCCAGTGTCAAAAGAAATCCGGCATTGCTTTGTTTTGTTATTAACTTCATCACGTGATTGGTCCAGAAAACTCGCGCCACTTTCTTAACCAATAAGATGCAAAGCTAAAACCAAGCACGAGCTGGTCTCTCGCATTTTCTCGCGCCTTTACCTTGAGTTCTCATTGGCTCTAAGAGTAGTTTCCTCTCTTTTGATTGGCCATTGTGATTACTGGGTTTGGTTTTAACCACACTCAATTGAAAAGCACTCTAATTTTCCACCAATGCCCTTCCTTTGAGTAGCGTTTCTGCAGTCACCTTTTCTTTAGGCAAATGCGTTCTCTCTCACACTACCTTACAAAGATTGCCATCACAGTAGGAGGGCAATGTAAACTTAACTGTAAATGAAAGAACCATTCTAGCTTACCTCTTCAGCAGACGCGAACATTGAAGAAACATCTCCCCTAACCCACAAAAGGAAAAAAAGCGTTACACTCAACAAATTATGAAGAGGAGAGATTATTCAAAACATCGTATCTTCTCTCACCCTTCAGTGTTTCCCTTTTTGGACTTCGTTTTCGTGATCTGGCTTCCCTCTTCATCGGAAAGTTCATCTGAGCTCAGGTTTTCAAGCAAAGCCTACAAGACGAAGGCATTGTAACAAATTGACGCATAGTTCATAGCCTAAAGAACTCACTTCGCACCCGTATTTACCAACACGTCACACCAGTCTTCTACAGCGTTGCGTGACAACGTAAAGCGCTCGCGTTATGAAACGGATGATAGTGCTTTATACCTTCTCGTAATCCTTTTCCGTAAATTTTCTTTTCTTGCCTTGTGTAGTAGTTGGCTCCTCTGTAGGTAAGAAAACAAATTGAAATTAAAAACGTTAGCTAAACGGTTAATTTCTGCAGTAAACAGGTTACGAGAATAGAAAAACTACTAATTTACAGGATGATATCTTGTTGCAACATCAAATTCCCTCTACTGACCTGCAAGGAATTTATTGACGTATTTGAATTAAGGGGTTAATTGGTGCCGAGCCCTTTTCAAACGGAGAAATCTAAGCCAATAAATTGTACTGAGAAGGTTGTACATACCTGCTTGTTCATCTCCAGAAGATGACAAATCCATAGCGTCATAATCAAATTCTGATGAGAAAAGATTCAAACAACGTCAAACTGTTGGCAAAGGGGACAAATTTAATAAAGAACTATTTCGCTGAGACAACAAGCTGTTCCGTTATTCTAAAATAAATTAACGATATTGAGCCCTTTACATCTGCAAGGTTATTTACCTAGCGTTGAATCTGTTTAATCTAAGGCGTGCGAAAATGACCTCAGCCAGGGTCAAAAAGAGGTTATAAGTGGTAAATGGAAAATAATAAGAAAATACCAGCGAAATCACAAAGACTAATTAGAAGAGAGAACGATACCCTTAAGAGCCAAAGAAAACTTGAAGTTAAAACCAAACTGGCTAAGGTGCGGGAAAACGAGGGTGACCAAGTCGTGATTGGGGTTACTTTTGCTTCTGATTGGTCGAGAGGATGGCGCGAGTTTTCCGAACCAATCACAGAGCTAGGTAGAGCAAAATCTGAGCAATCAAGGATCACTTTCGACATATAATTAAAATTTGCACCAGTAATAATGAGATGAAACTATTTTAAGTGCCATCTTCTGCCGTCTTCTGGTGAACTTTTACCTTTTCCCTCCAATTCTTCGTCGTCACTTTCACCCTCCTCGCTGTTTTCGTCTTCTCCTTCGTCCTCTTCATCGCTGGCGATTGCTTTGTTTTTACTCGCCGTAGACATTTTGGAACTCTTCAAGTCACTTATTAAACCGAAAAAATAGAAAAGCTGTCTAAAAAAATCTGAGAGAAGTCTCTCTATAAATAGTAATGAAAACAATATAAATAAAATGTTAGGGTAACTGGTGGTTTCGCCCCATTGCAAGTTGGCCCCTTCTCAATTCGACCCAAAAATCTTTTGACTCGTTACCTAACGAAAAGAACGTGATTCCTTTTCTAATTTAATTCGATCAACTGGCAAATTAATCGCGAAACCATCACAAAGTTCGATCAACATGCAAGTGCGATAACTTTACCTCGCGAAGTCATACTCAAAGCTAGACCGCTCCTCTAGAACATTGTCTGTGAAAAGAACAGATAAGTTGAAAGTAAATCGAGAGACTATAAAGCATAACTCGCACACAAAAATTTCGACCATAAACAAATAAAACAATACCGAAATTTGTTTCCTTTTCAGATATTTCATGGTCAGATTCACCAGCTTTCTTCTTCCGTTGACTTTCCTTTTCTGCTTTCCGCTTGAAATACCTGAGATATACGAGGAAATATGACAAGTCCTTTGCCTTTACTCAGCGGACGATCGATATAAGAGATATATCGGTGCGTGGGGGGTATTATAAGATAATCAGTTTTATCTAATGGGTTGATAATGTAAATAGGTCATTGTAAAGGGTTTCAAAGGCAGACGTTTCCACCGTTAGCCCTTCGTCAGAACGAATCATCCGCGAACAATTCGCTCTGACGTGGGGCTAACGCCTGAAACGTCTCCTTTAGAGACTCTTTACGATAGCAAATTTTCATCATCAACTCAGTTGACAAAACCAATCAGTATATACTAAAACAGAGGATAGTGTTGAAGACGCGCTCTGATAGGCTACTAAAATTCCCAAGATCCTTTGCTATTAGAGCAACTCGCACGGGATTGCACCCGAAAATAGCCGGTGTAATCGGTAGAGAAACGAATAAGTTAAAATCATCTTTGTGTGCTATGTTATGTCTCTGTTTCAGTATATACTACTATAACCAATCACCTAGGTGTCAGTGGCAAGTAGTGGATATTTACCTCACTCCTTAGTGGCCTACTAAACATCCACTGCCCACCTCCACTCAATGAATAGTTGTTAATTATATTCTGATACTTATATTCAGTTTGAAAATGAAGCTGACTGACGGCTGTTCGTAAAAGGAATCTATGCCACTAGTTAGATAATCAATGAATTCAATAATACCTGTGAAAGAACAGTTCATCTTCTCGTAGATCTTCTTCTTTCTTAGCAAGAAACTCTTTCGTATTCACTGCAAATGAACAGGAGGTTTAACACAAAATCATTAAACATTACTTTGAGCAAGTCAACATGATTTTCATCGGGGAAATTGCATTTTCTTGTGTTAGAGGGCAAGTGTGAGGTACTTTACTGCAAATCACTGTCGCTCAGATCTGCACCTGCTGTGGATAAGAGCTGAAAAACTCATTCAAGTACTGCAAAAGTTCCTTTCCGGCAAAGTTTGAACTCTTCCCGTTGAGGAAGTTCCAACCAGAATTTCTTTCACTAATTTGCCATGGAACTTACCAGGAAAAAAAACTGTGTGAGATTCGCGTTAATCTCTCACAAGAAATAGTTAATCAAAGAGCCTCGATTTTATGCAATAGACCCAGCGTCCTTGGCTCGAGGGCAAAGCTATCAATCCTGGATAATAGAAAACTACTCTTTAAGGGAGAAATATGCTCCACAAACCCTGTGATTTTATCACAATTAACTTTCGGGAATTGACTCAGAATCTGGGAAAAAATGAAATTAAAGAATCCACCATTTTGAATATTGCTTAGCAACCTAGCCAATTACACGAGAAAGTTCTCGTCCCCTCCTTAAGTTATATGTTTGGACAATTGGAATAGCATGAGTTCACATACTCTACTCAAATAATGGTTATCCTTCGATGTCTAGATATGAAGCGGTTTGTGGGCCGGGTCACTGTGTTTAGTTCAACGTAGCGACGTTCCTTGTCGGACCTTTGTACATCTCAATGGTTAGGTTTCTCTTTTTAATCTTATAACGCAGTAAAATGTAAATGTTTATGGGTACTTTTAAATGGTAGATATGAAAATTGTATGTTTTCTAGAGCATACTTTTCCTTTAATTTATAATCAATTGGTTGTGCTCTTGTGCACCGCTTACCAGGCTCCTCGGCCAGCCGGCTTGATGACGTTTTCGGCTGCATCAGTGAACCACCGTGATCTGGACAAAGAGGAGAAAAACACGAATAAAAAACAATTTGAAACAAATTTGAAACAGGTTTCAAATTTTTAAGGAGGGCAAATGTCCTCGAATGATAAGGGAAAAGAGATACCTCGTTCCTTCTGCTTTGGGTTTTTGTACACAAATCTGTCAAGAAACCTAAAATATGACAAAAAGAATTTGAATGTAAAAAAATGATAATTAAAGTATAGCCAAGCAAGAAACATCAATAAAGTACTTTCATGATTTTTGTTTATTTGTTTGTTCGCTTTTTTTTGGTTGTCGCTTTAGCAGTTGTCGTTGGTGATACTTGTTTTGTTCGTTTGCTACGACAAAGATCTGACAATTAAACTGTCTGCTATCACAAAATTATCTGCTTCGTCAGTTAATGTACTTGCCTACTAACTTATAAAAAAGCTTTTTTCAAATATATCTCATTAATCTATTCATTTATTTATTTGTTTGTTTATTAATTTTTCTCTTTGAAACTATTTTCGCCACCTCTCAGGAAGTGGCTGGTTAACATGTTACAACGGAAAGCGAATAACCGTGTTAAACGGTGTAGCTTGCCACTGGTCTCCTACAGCTCCGTGGCAGGGTGCCTGAAGTGGAAATTGGAATTTCGCGGGCTCGACTCCTGTAGGGAGCACAGGAAGTTATTTTACTCCGAGTAACGAGTGCCAGTCACTGAATAATATAATTGTTCGACCGTGGCACTTTACCTCATGAGTGTAAAATCTTGCAAAGGATCTCCTTTGTACTCGATATTGTTTCCCTTAAAAAGAGAAGTAAAGAGAATCACCAATAAATCTTATGGACATATGTTGTACAGTCAAGAAAACAGCAGATAGATTTGACACAAAATAGTTATTCTTTCTTCGGGTAGAAGAAATATTATTGTGATGATGCTGTATGTACGGATATTTAGTTTAATACAGCCTAATGAGACTAATGCACCCTATGAAACAGGCAAAGAGCCCTTTTCGATTGAGTGACGTAAAACCGTGAATTTCACTTCCCATGCTAGCAAAGAGTTTTTTGAAAGTAGAATTAGTTTGGTCGGGAACTCAGATTAAATATGGAGGTTTGTTGCCTCAGGAACACGGGATCTACTCTGCAGGTTGCGTTCTTGTGTGCCTGCGAGTTTCACAGGAACAAAGTAACTACAAAGGTCAATCAGATAAAGGAAAATACCTTTAAGAACCACTAATAGCTCAAAGAAAAAAAAAACCAAACTGTCTTAAGAGCAGGAAAACGGGAGCGACCAAGTCGTGGTTTGTTTTAGCTCCTTATTTAAGTGGTTAAGAAAGTGGCGCGAGTTTTCCAATACTACAATTAATGCTTTGGCAAAAAAAGCGACAAAGAATATGGAATATTTACAAACAGTAACACTAAATATTGATTCAAGCCATGGGTAATAAAACACAGACACGCCACAACTAACCTTCATAAGTGTATGAGCAAAATGAGAAACTGAAGGATGATAATGTCTGGAAAGCCTATTGAGTTCCCACAGACAAGAGTTTTCTGCCCCACTGTACAGCGGATTTCTCTGGGAGGGCTTATAGGTTTGACTTTTCTGAGCCCCGCTTACACGTGTTTCAGTCTTTGGGGACTTTGCTGCGTCAGGATGGCGTATTTGTGGCTCTTTTCTGGCTGATGAAACCACCTCTGTCGTGATTTTGTCCTCATCATCTTCCGAAGGGACGTCCACAAAGTGTTCTTCATCGTCTTCCTCCTGCGGTTATCGAGAATTTCAAAATTGATTTAAATTGAAGGTCAAAATTGACGTGTATTTTATTTGCTATCTGTTTGCCGGAAGAAGAAAAAAAGTCAGTCAACCCTTTCAATTCTACATCATGATAACAAACTTTCTTTTCTTTACATAGGACCGCATTACCTTTGGGGCAATGGCGAGATTTGTCTCTAACAAGTTATATTTCGTCCCCTTTTTCTCGGTGATTAAATTTCTTGGAGAAGGTAAATCCAAGTTGACATTTTATTGAATACTATCCTTTCCTGTTTTTCAAGAAGTTCATGCACGTGTATGGACCGAGAAATGTATTTGCGCTGACGACATCTACCTAGAAAGCTCTGAATAGTGGAAAACTCGGATTTAGAAGCGCCATACACTGATGTTAGGAAGAACTAAACTGGCAGAAACGTGGTCCATCTCTGTCTGATCAATGGTAAGTGGAATTTAAAAGATAAGAATCTTAAGTTCATGTGACTCGACGTGCGTTACACGCCCCGCCCTTTCAAATACGAAACAAACATCAAAGTAAAAAATAAAATAAACATCAACTATAACGAAGACAGTAAGAGTTATTTATTTTATTGTTGATAGCTATATCCAAATCACTCAATGCTATTAAACGGCACAAAAAAGGCGAAAAAAAGTAAAATTCTAAGTTGCCAAACTAGCGCTTCTAACAGCAGGTATTGTTGCCATACTCAATCAAAAAGCTAATTGCGTTACAGCGTCAGCTTGGATGAAAACTATCACCGCACGTTTGTGTGTATGTTCCGCCAAACGTACGCTGACCTGCACCCTTTTCAGCTCTTTCTTAGTTCTATCTGAATGGAACAGGATATTAAAAGCTTAATGAATAAAACGGATAGAAAAATTTGGGGTTTCATTTAATTACCACCGATTAGATGATAAACTTAGCTACTCTCGTCAATATTTTCTGTATACTGGAAATGTACAGAGAAGTTTACACATAAATCAATTCTGAGATTTCAGAGTAGAGTTTCCTTAATGGAGCCATCAATCCTGTTACGTTCATCTTGTTTCTAGTTCTTAGACTCAAAATCAATACTTTAGGTGCTTTGGCTGATCTCTGGTCTGTCATCACGCGTATTCACATTGGCTAACTGCGTGTTCCGCCAAACGTACGCGGTGATCTGAGCCCCAACGAACTCTTTCTTATTTCTTTCAGGATGGAACAAGATATTGAAAGCTTTAGGAATAAACATGCAGCCAAGCAGGCCAAACGAATCCACTAGTGTTGTGCTGCAGGCTATAACAGAAACATACCAACCTTCCTGCATTGAGAAATCCACCGAGTAATAACACAGTGCAGACAACAAAATTATGTAAAGCGAGAAGCCGATGAAGCGCGCCTCGTTGAAATTATCTGGCACTTTGCGAACTTTGAATGCATAAAAAGACGAAAGCAATGAAAGCAACAACACATACGAACAGACCATGAAATATAACGATTTTCCGACCGACGACCCGTACAGTTTACAAGTGTAGAAGATAAACTGGGTCGGTTGTATCTTCTCGTTTCTGTATGGCGGATCTGAAGCGAACCATGCGGTTAACAGCACGATGTCAACAATGTTCACTAGAGCAACCAAACCGACTTGGTATTTCACCCTTGAAATGTAACTTTGAAAGGGCATCTCTGAACTGTCGACTTGGAAAAGGACGAAAATGCGAACTGACTTCAGCCACAATATGGATACAAAAGTGGTGTAGATTGCGTACCGGGAAAACTGAATCAAGCGACAAATAGAATCAGTTGGCTCTGCAATGCTCAACAGCGCCAGAGTAAAACTGGAGAAGATCGTAGCAAGAAGGAGAAAACTGAGCTGTCTATTCGAGGCTTTCACAATTGGTGTCTCGCGGTATTGCACAAACACAAGAAACATAGCCACGGTCACGCAAAATCCTAGCGCTGTCACGCAAGAAAGGAATACACCAGCTGCATCTCTGAAGTGAAGGTTTTTCACTGGCAGATCCTCGCATTTCGTTTTATCGTCGTTCGGCTTTCGTTTATGCGAGCACTCCGTGCAGTTGGTAGATCCAGGTGACTTGCTGACTGTGCCCCCCGGACATGTAACGCACTTCCAACAACATGAAGTGGTCACCTCTTGCCTAGTTCCGGGGGGACACACTTGACTGCAGAATGAAGACTGTACCGTTGTAGCAAAAGTGGCGTTTGCCCATTTGATCGCAGAGTCGTTCAGTGACAACCTTGGCTTCTTAACACTATTCCAAAATCCTACCAGGGCCTTCTTTGCAATTCCCTTGCTATTTATTTGGATGTTCACAATTTCAAAGAACGAATTCTTGGGATCACCTTCGCGGTCAAATTCTACGACGCCAGTGAGTCCTGGAAAACTGACATTTTTCAAGTGGGACAACAGATCCTTTCTATCGGAGCATGCTTTCCCCGGAGGCTCTCGGTCTGAAGCGCGACACCTGAATTGCTTGTCTAAGGCGAATGCCACGGCAAATATGGCGTCTATAAGGTAGCCAAGGTAAGGATCGAACAATTTGGAAACTTCATTGTGTGACAACGGTACATTAGAGCACCTTGGGTCGGCTGCGCTGTCTGCGTCAAGGGTACAACTCCGAAATTTTTTCCAGTATTCATCCCACCACGGATTCCTTCCTAAACGAGTTTTATTCGGCGTTAAGGAATACAAGTGATTCAGGAAAGTTTCACCTTTGCGATCGCGTGGCTGAACGCCAATGGCGCCGTCCAGTAGACGAAATAACGGTCCAAGCAGCCCGCTATCCTCCGTACTCGTTCCATCACCGAGAATCCAGGTCCGTCGCCCGAGCTTCTGCCTGTGAACTTCTTCGAAGAAAAGCTTCGCATATCCACCGAAGACCCACACCACGATGACTTTGACACTGCTCTGCTGTTTAATGCGTGACACAATCTGCCACATATCAGTGGCAGCACGAAGACGCGGAATAAACTCTGAAAAGGCCAAGCAAAAGGTTCCTCGATTATACGCCTCTTTCTGTAACGCGGAGACGCCAAACCGCCCGTAAGAATCATCCAGAGCTACCGTACCAATATACGTCCATTTGAAGTATTCAAACAGATCTGCTTGCACTCTCGCTTGTTGTCTGTCAGGCGGAACTGTTCTTAAGAAGTATGGATATTGATTGGAACTAAGCTCGTCGCTTGTTGCAGCAAAGCTTATTATTGGGATTTTGGCCATGCTGAGAAGACTTGCTATCTGAACAGCGCTCGCAGAGTCGTACGGCCCAAGAATCGTAGAAACAGGAGCAACAGCATCTCTGCTGTAGCACAAAGCTGTTTCGTTATCCATGCTGAAATTTCTGTTCGTATACATATGATACAAATCTGCATCTCGCACGAAGTCGTATGTTTCTTTAACGGCAACAGACACAGTTTCGCAGTAGTCACGGATGTCGAAGCCGAGAGTAACATTCGGAAGCAATGAAGGGTCATTGTTGATCTGTTCGATCGTGAAGATCATAGCTTCAGCGTGACCGAGACCAACAGGAAAGAAGCCTAAACCGCATTTGTCGTTCGAATCCTTGTAATGTAACACTGTGAGTCCGCCAAGCATAGCATCACCAGCTTGAAAAGCTCTCTTAAATTCCTTCAAGGCGGCGAGTTGGTCAATACAAAACAACCAAACAACTATTCGAGCAAACATCATGAAGAAGCTAAAATAAACATCAGTCGGTTTGGAAACTGAGTTAGTTTTAAGTTAACTATTGCAACGGTTTTAAGTCGTCTTGTGAAGGGAATACGACTTGTGTGGTAAAGAAGGCTTAAGCCGGCGTAGATTACCAAAAACCATTAAACACACCCACAAGGTGAGCGAGCTTAGCTTATCCTGAGCGGAAAATGTTAATACGCCGTATGAAGGGCCACAATATTCGTTGAGACCTTCAGCAAGTTCTCAGCGGTTATTAGGTAACTCAACAACGCTTTAGTGAAAGATTTCTTTTCGTCTTGTCACGAGCGTGGGACAAAGAAAAACAAAAAAACACCGCGCTTTATTTGGAAAGACAATAGCGTCACGCTTTGATAATTTAAGACTTTTCGCCCTCTCGCTCCTCTCGAGGCAGGAGCTTCGAACACCTAGGGAAGTTCATCAGACCAAAATGGGGCCTGTGAATTATGGGGAAAAAAAAATAAAAGTTGTTTTCTTGGTTCCTTGAAGACCCTAGTTTGTTTCAGCTATTAACAAATAAAAGAAGGGAAGAGTTATATTTAGACAGTCGATGATTAACGGTTCTAGAGGGCAACACCCGTGAATGTAACATTTTGGTTCTACGAAAATCTTATCCTTTCAACTAACTCCTAGGAACTCCTAGGAAAATTTAGATAAAGGAGGGCCGAAATTCTAAAGTTAGATTCCTTTTCTTTGGTGAAAAGATGATTTGATGTGATATGAAAATTAGTTGGTTAAGTGCCATGCAAAAACAATTACAACTGAGGGATAAAATTACCATGACTAGACTACCAAGGGTGCAGTAGAATCAAAACAGCACGAAAAAAATTATTTTCTTGAGACACTTCCAATTTCAAGATGTTTTGCTCTCGTTGATGCCAGTTGGAGACATTTCACGCGGAGGGAACAACCTGAGTGGTTCGAGACATCAAGGTTTCAAAACTGATATGCAAAGTTAATCGAAGCAGGCTGACGGGACGCGACCAGAACCGAGACAATGCCCACTCATCTGTAGAATGTTTCATTTGGAATCCACACGGAGTTTGTTCTCCACACGAACAGTTTCCAAAATGATCTCGTCAACTTTGATGATTGTAATAACAAAGTTATGTTACACTGGTACACGATAATGTGTATATAGTGCGGAGCCACTTATTATTTTTTTTTTAATTTATTTGGCTCTTAGATGCATTCTGAACTGTACCATTTTCGGCTATCTCGATCTTTTTACGGTTTTCAGTTCGCTACAACATTTTAGTAAATTATATGATCAATTTCCGATTGCCGAAATTTTTTTCTCCGATAATGTGAACAAAGAGTTTATTAAAACTACTAGCATTTTTAACGCCATTGTGCCTCTCTTGACTCTTGAACCCCTAAGAGTGACTAGCGTCTATTTTCTATCTACACTGTCTCTCCTAAATCAAACATTGAGGTCAAGAGAGGAAAGAAAATGACCACCGCTCTAGAACCTCTCGATTGTTAAACAAATTCTCCTTGTCGGCCGCCGAGGAAGTGTTCACAGAACAGTACAAGAATTTGCATGCTTATGTTTGGGTGTAAAGACTTAATTGTACAAGACTAATATAAAGCGCTGAGACAAAGAAACTACCCACCTCTGGTTGCTGTGTTAGGCTCTTGATTCCTGGCTTCAGCTTTGTAAGCTAAAAGGAAACAAGCACCTTAGAGGGAACTAAAGCCTAAAATTGAAACATTTGCTGCTTATAGCAATTTATGTCAATGTTCGAGCGTTTTTTCATTTTTCAAATTAATTTTTTTTTTTGAGGGGGGGTGGGGTTTAACTTTGCCTGAAAAAATTGTTTCATACTGTGTTTTGACCCATTAGCACCGCGGCTCAGAAAATCGATATCAGCAGTTGATATTACGCCACTGGTGTTTGCCGAAGTTGTGTGACTTCTTACGGGGATGAAATTCTTACGGAAATGTTTGGCTTCAACTTGAGTTTGGATTGGTTGTGGATGTCAAAAATCGATCCATGAGTGTGTCTGTGTTTATTCAGTCATTCTTTTAACTTCGCATAATTAGTTTTAAATAGTCGTCCACGTTCTATTCTTTTCCCGAGTGATCATTTAAAAATTCGATGCTTTCATTTATGGAAGATAGTTGCAAATGTGATCAGCTCAGTAGTCTGCGGGCGAGAGATCTATGGCAAAACTCAGCAGGGCTCTACGCAACCCCGAGACCAGTTTCGTTAGTGAGCCATCCGCTGCAAAGACTTATGTCTTCTACCGATTCGATTCTTCGCTTCGGCTCAAACTGGAAGGGCTACACACCACTCATATTTGCGAAATAAAGACCGATAAATATAAAATTTATCATAATATGCGCTGATGTGCGGCCATTTATAGGTGAGAGAGGTGTTTCATACCCCACCACTGACGTTCAACCGCTGATAATCGTTTTGAGCGCCGACGGTTTTACAGCGGGAAAAAGGGAACTTAAACCTAGTTTTCTTGTGAAGAACAAGAAGTGAACGAAAATGAATACCGAGACTATATATCATTCCTCTAAAGCTAACTAGAAATGGATGCAACTAAAATCAGAGTTTTAGGCTTCGGTTCCCTTTAAACTTAAAATCACATTATCACAGGCGACCAGTAGGGCTAGAAAACTGAGAGAGCTTGGACGACAAAAAAATTATTGGAAGGACAGTTAGAGGCATTATTAGTGTTCCCTTTCTCATGCAGTAACCGAAGGACTGCAGTACCCCTTACTTCCGCCTTTAATGGCTTGGAATTCTCGAAAATTCAAGAAGTAAAAGGATCGCTCGACCGTTTTAAAAATTTAATCTACCTGTCGTAAAAAAATAAACAAATATCGTCGCTTTCTCATATTGGTAGGGAAATAAATTCCACCATCCAGATATTACAATAGCATATTGAAATTAGAGTGAGAAAAAGAAAACCAAAGTATCGTCATAAAGAAAGACTGGGAGCCGATATACATGAAGAGGAAGTTATCCTATTACACTCCTCTATTTGCTTTTGCTTTTTGACAGAAATCATAAATGCTACGCTGAAAATTCTGTCGTTTCGTTGTTTACACTTCCACTGAGACCAAAATCCCTATTTTGCACTCTGTCCCAGTCACTCCGAGCATAAGCGTAGCTCCCAGTACAACGTCCCCGCTCCCGGCCATGCAAATGTTATTTGCACTTTTTGTGTGTGAGTGTGTTTGCAAAATGAATAACTCACCAAGTAAAAGAAAAACTCACCTCGGAAATCATAAATAGCGCTCCACAGACGAATGATGGCTGTTGGAAACTGCAAACTTGTACGATACGTTTTACAAACGCCTAGAAAATAAAGAGACACGTTGACATACTGGCTGGCAAAATTCTAAAACTTTATAACAGATAAAAATAGTGTTAACACCCTTATCATTAACAACAACAACATTGGCCATGTAGAAACCTCCATATGAAACCTGGCTTTATGAGACAAGTTATAAGCATTTATTTGTGTAGTATCTGTTCTCTTTCTTTTATTTGTTTTTTCTTTGTTTTGTTTCATCTTATTCATTGTATTTTTTGTTTGTTTGTTTTGCATTGGTTTTTTTGTTTGCTTGTACATTTGTTTGTCAAAGGAACGGGTTATAAGAGCGTAATTGCACAGATTGTTATTGATGCTGAACACACAGCCTGTGTCCGTCACAAAACCAAACGCACCGTCAACGCGAAAAAGATCTAGCATCGAGAAAAACATGAAGTCGTTTCTCTTTCTCGAATCATTTATACTCAGACAACACACCCTTACCTTAACACGATGCAGTGAAGGGTCACTTTTAACGGACTTGTACAAAATATTCAAGAATACGGCCTTTAGAAGCAAGAAAGGAAGAACAAGTTTCATTAATCATGGTGCGCTGAGTTAAGCTCTTCCATGTCCGCTACTTGATTGGTTTTGTTGAAGAACAATTGCGTAATCAAATAACAGAAAACTGCTTCGTCCAGACCTAGTTTATCACTGTATTTGTATGAAAAAGAAAATCAAAGTCATCCGGGATTGCTTTGTTTTTTCTTAACTTTTCTGATTGGTCCAAAAAACTCGCGCCACTTTCGGTCGCTGCCGTTTTCCCGCCTTTCAAGCAGTTTGGTTGTTTTTACTTTAAGCTTTCATTGGTTTTTAAGTGTTCTTTCCTTTCTTCTGATTGGCTGTTGTGATTTCTTTGGTTTTGGTTTAACGACACCCAATCGAAAAGCGATCTTTTCTGTGAAACTCTCAAGCACACAAAAATTCAACCTGCTGAGTAGATCCCATGTTCCTGAGGTGACAAACCTCCTTATTTCATCCAAGCTCCTACCCAAACCAACACTACTTCCAAAAAACCCTTCACTAGCATGGGAGGCGAAATTCATGCTCTAATTCAATCAATATCAACCTGTTTTTATTAGCAAGCGCCACTGTAGAGGAAGTGTTACCATACTATGAAACATGCTCACCTGTTTACCAGATGTTTTCAGATTTGGATCCAGGAGTTTAGCATAAAGGGCGGAATAAAAGCGATCTGACACGGACTGCCTACGAAAAGAAAAACAATTATTTTAAGCAAACAATACTAAAACTTATGAAAATTCACTTATTTGAATTGTCCAGGCAGTCAGCGGGACCAACCAGCAGAGGGATTCATTAAATTTTAAAACTGTAGCTGTTGCGTAAATTCACATCGCAGATCATATAGTCAAAAGCAATTTTCATTCCCATGCACTGTACGTGGACAGAGCTTCCAAGTAGCAACCGTACTTGTTAACGATTCCATAACAAACAAATACAATAAGTATTACATGTTAATACCTTGATTCCATGACTTGGTACAGTAACATCAGAGCCTGTGAAATGAATAATAATTTGAGAAAAACTCGTATGTGCACACGGGCTACTCTGATCAATGGCATTGAAAAATTGCTCCTCTGTTATTCATAGAGCAGGTAAAAGTAAAACCTATGGAATTACGAGTTGATTTCGGCAATAGAACGAAAATTACCAGAAAATAAAAAGCTTTCCGTACGGTTTGCACGTTATCGTTTCATACCGCATTTATCGACAAATTTTCGTCACCGTATGCATGCATTAGGATTATGTGGATATCAAAACAAATAAACCAGAGGGTTTCGTCCATGAACACTCACTTGTACACTCGTGTTAAATGTTCCAATATGCACTGTTCGGAACAGAGTGTTTATTTGTTCATTGTACTGTTCGTCCTCTTCTGCAAAGGAGAAGAAATCGCCATCTTAAAAATAAGCTTGCAGACTGAACATGTGTGAACCTACCTTCGTGCACGCGTTAATTCCGGTGTTCCGAGGGCTATTGTGTTCACTCGTTGACCAAGAAACTAAATATAAATGAACCTCTTTCTCCACCGAAAATGCCTTCACTGTGTCTGTTTCCAAACAAAGTGGTGAGTGTTGTAACAGACTTTCGATACTTCTACCATTTTCATCAAGCAATCCACACACTTTTATTACTAAGCCACAACAATAACTCTCTGCTGTTTTATACCTTTTGCATATGGAAACGCTCTGTTTACCCCAGTAAGAAGAGCACTCAACATTTTTGCTTCTAATTCACCCTTTGTTAAAAAAGCCTGTCGAAAAAGGTAGACAACGATGATAATTCGTACAGTTAGGCTACTAGGATTTGGCAACAGCTAACATGCATATATTTGTAACTTGTCAGTGGGGCATTACACAGCTCAAGGCATTTCCAAGGGGGGGGGGGCGGCTTAAAGGCAGGAAGAGGTAGAAATGAGTGGCCTTCATTTACACTACCAAAGCCACATTTGAACGTTTTTAGGTTCAAACTGAGTAACTCATACAAGATTGAAGGATGTTATTCCTTTAGTGGCGAACGCAGGTCGTAGAAAAAATTATTAGTACGGTCCAGGGGTTTCAATAACTCTTTCCTTACGCGGCTGCCGATGGCGTAATGTCGGCTATGCTGTGAGGCAAAACCCACACACCAGAGCCAGTTCTCTGGCTAAATAGACGGCGGTGAGAGGTCTGGGTGAAACCCCTGAGTACCTGTCAGGCGATGGAAACCCAAACAATCAGAAAATGCGCATCCAAAGATCTTTAAAGTTTCTTTCGTTACAGTATAGCGTATCTAATTAATTCCACAGAAATGGTTTGGAAGGATCAGACTAATGAAAAATGCTGCCTACAATATTAGAAACAACTAGACTGAGCTACACATTATCAGTGAATGTTACCCTGTAAAGTGTACGTAAGGAGTATTAGCTTACCCGAAAGAATGAAAAATATATGGATATAAGTCTGGTGGCAAGTTCACCATCTTGTTTGGTAAGGATTAACTGATTGAGAAAACACACTGCAAAATATCTGCAAAAAGAAAAGCAAACTGAGCCTAGTTGCAGGAGGTGACAAGTCAAACAGTTTGTTTGTTTTTATATCTGGAACTAATGGCTCCTTGCGATATCACTCCTTGTCAAGAAAGGCTGTTGCAATTACTTTGGTTCTGGTTCTACGACAATCGATTAAAAGGCGCTCTAAAAGCAAGTTATATGCATTAGAACTCTAACACTACATGAACAGTACTTACTGAGCTTTAATGGCAATGTTGGGTCGGTAGAGAAGTTTTTCGATCTCCTTGGTGACCACTAATTTCATATTTGGATGTTTAGTTACTGGAGGAAAAGAAGCGAAGCAATGACAAAGTTTAATGTATAAACTATTAGTTCATGCAAAGCATAATTCAAGATAGTGAGTTAATAAGCACAGTTTACATCAAGGAAGGATAGAAGACGTACAAATAGCCAGAGAATTAGACAAAAAAAGGAGGAAAACTACAAATTAAATGGCTCCACAACTGAAGGAAAAATAGCATGGGAAAGCCGCATAGCTTTGCTTAGCAACCGCAAAAATTGCCTAATCTCCAACGCTTAGAATGAACACTCTGAGTGGGTGGTTACCCCTTTGATCTCTAGGGGTGACTGGCGGCTAATTTGACTCCTAACAAATTTTTTGCTCCCTGTTACTAACGGGGAAAAGGCTAAAAATAGGCTTGACTGTGAAACCTATAAAACTAACCCCTCACCTAGTGATCTTGACAGATAAACTGCTTTTGATGCTATTTTCCTGTCAGGATCTCCTATCTTGTTTATCAGTAGACTTAACAAAACCTGCAACAATAGAAAATACACAAATAAAGTTAATAACATATTGATTAATGACAATAAAACTAGCACTTGATGGACAAATAATCTGCTAGAACATGATATCTATTCAAACTCTTTTTGCCAAAGAACCAAAAATGATGATGATAAAAATAGCATCACTCCAAATTATCAGTTATAATAGTAATTATAATAATAACATTACAAGAAGAAAAAGAAGAAGAAGAAGAAGATTCTACTCACAGTCATAGACTGGTAACATCCCAATTAAAAATAGTTATACCTAGCTTGATTTGCAAAATGATTTATTACATTCAATTCATATGTGGTGTGAATCATTCAAGTACATTGTAACTCACTTGTTCCTGTTCTGGTTTCTCTGACAATAAGTCAAACACGGCTCCTGTAAATCAATTTTTGTCATTATAATCAATTAATCAATCATGACATCAATGAACCAAGACTCCTGATGAGCCTCTTTTAACAGACAGCCATTGTTGTTCATTCCACTGATATAATCGGTGTCAACAGGTTTCTGAAATAGACACTCACAGTTGAGTCAAAGAAATTTGTCAACCATGTTTTTTTTTTTTTTTTAGGGGGGAGGGTAGTATACAACCATGTTGGGGATAGTATACAGCCCTGTGGGGGGGGGGGGGGGGGGGGGGGGCAGTATACTGCCTGTGGGCAGGGTAGCCACAGAGCAGAGGAAGCCTGTGGATATCTGAGGCACATTGCTATCCTTTTGAAAAAGGAATAATCACCAAGCTGAAAAGCTTGTGCTAATTAATGAATTCACGTTATCAGTACTAAAGCAAACATATACAGAAGAGTATGAAGTATGAAATACTGATGTTAGCCTGCAAAGGGTTATTGCATTCTTTAAGTCTATCTTACCCAGTATTTTGCTTCTGATGTTTACCAAAGTGTCCTGAAGAAGTTTCTGAAAAACAATCCAAGATACGGGTATCACTTATCAAAAAATATATGAAGATTTTTGTGTATTTATAATTTTTCTTGCTTTCTTTTAATAGTGCTTCAAAACAAAAATCAGTTTCTATATAATTTGTGAAAAAAATGTTCCATGTGTCTATACTTTTAAAGTGTTGTTTAAAAATTGTTTATGAAAAAAAAAAATGCTCACATAAAATATTTTATAATGTTCCAAATTCTGTTTCACATCTGACTAATTATGAATGTAATTTTTTTTAGGATGATACCAGTATACAATTTTCAGAGGAAACTATTGATTGACAAATACCTTAACAACTTCAACAAACTCTTGATATCTCTGTTTCAGCTGCTCCTCAAAGTACCACAGAATAAGACGTTTGTCTCGTTCATCCCAGCCACCACCCACGTGGACAATCTCAACTAATGACAACAGTGGATGCTGCACAGTGGAAATATACATCATCATGATGTAAAATAAAATAAAATAATAAAACAACAAAGTTTATAAAGAAAGATGTTTTTGTCTTGTCACAATTGTGGGACAAAAAGAAAAATTCTAAGTCCTCATGAGGAATCCAACCTCAGACCTTTGCATTCCGTCCTCAAATACTCTATCTTTAAAGCTCCATCAATCTCCATCAAAATATATGCTCCATCTTTCTTATTCTAATACGGTTTCTGTTGGCAGGCATAAATATGTTATGAACCTGAGTCATTTTAGCCTGAGCAGCTATGCTAAGATAATAAAGAATGAACCAAGGATAAAAGCAATTTTCACTTGAGATCAAAGTAAACTGCAAAGTGCAAGTTACACGTAACATCTTTGCTAGTTAATATCTGGTTAATAACTGGTTCATTTGGAAATTATATCCATTTCACATTAACTTTCATCACATTGTTAACAAACCTGAGCAAATTTTTTAAGCTTCCGATTATTTGGAAGCAGAAGGGTCATCCAAAGTTCTTTCAACATGTCTGTAATTTACAAAAACATAACAAATTATCACGATGCACAACTATTAATAATAATTTTACTGCTAATCGATGTCACTTACACCAATTTATGGGTATAAATGCAAGGTAGAACTTTTTAATAGCAAGATATATAATGGGCAAGACAATGCAATTAGAGATAAAGGAAAAAAAAAAAAAGTTTCCACAAAATCACATTGCAACTCACCTACAGCTATAATACTCTCTCTTCTACCTTTCTTTTTAGCCATGCCAATTAATATATCTAAGGTTTTAAGGCCGTGTACAGCAGATTCCTGTGAAATAAGTCAGGAGGCATAAGAAATAAAATTTAGATCTTTCTTACTCATCATACGCCATTAACAGGAGAGGCTTACAACCTAATTGTTAGCTTACAATCTACCATAATTAATGTTAGCCTTCATTCAGAGACATGTGGTATAAAAAAGTTGTATGTAGGAAATTTTCAGGAGCAGCACTCTAAGTATTAATGAGTAAACAAGCAGGTCATACATGTATATACATGTATGTGTCCTTTAAACTGCTTAGGTCAGTAATAGGGAAAACAGCAAGTGACTATATAGAACGATTAAGAGAGATTTTGATTAACATTTGAGGATTTATGTTAGTCTACATTTTTTTCCCTCTGTTCATATTAAGTCAGCTGTTTCCTTAAGCTGTTCTTAGACCTACCTGGACTTGAACAGTGAGTGCAGCAACTTTGTCAGTCAATGTTCCTGAGCTTACAACAGATTTTAACCACTGTGTATCTGATGACTTCTCTTTTACTTTCACTAAAAAGTACAATTAAAAAGTAGTTAGACCCACTGAATAATTCAAATAAATAGAAATAAGGTAGCAAAGCTGCCTCTTCACTTTTGGTCATAAATACCTGAGGCACTCATACTGGTAAGTTACAGATATGTTGGTAAAACTAACAGAAGTATCTGTTGTTGTTTATATGATAAGCCAGAGTATACAAGCACCTGGATTGGTTCTAATAACTATGATCTATTGGAAGACAGCTGTCATGTCACCATTAACAATATTTTGCTTTTTTATCATGTAAGACAAACAGATTCTATGTTGCCATATAGAACAGTAATTGGTCACAAAAGATGTAATGTGGTAAAAACACTCAATTTACTGACATACATGACTGCACTGAGGTGTTCTTACCACATTTTGATGTTATCTACATGTATGATCTATCATTGAACAAACACACCAAAACATTTCTCTTGATGTAATCACCACTGATTAATGTGGATCATAACATTTCAAGTTTAGTTAAATCAGGTCTCTCTAAGGCAAGGAGATCTACTAGCAACACAACTTAACATGAAAGAATACTTGCTGTACAGCTACACACTCACTTTTATCATAGATGCCAACTTCCTGCTCAAAAAGATCAGCTGCTTCCCTGGAGAGGCATATAATATCATCCTTACCAGGGGTGGGGTAAGTGGTATTGTTTTCAACAAGCTGCAGAGAAGTACAGAAAAAAAGGCAGTAACAATGAATTATATATTATCAAATTAGTTGATAATTATTATTGATTTTAAAGCAAATATTGACCAAAACAGTGTAAAATTAGTTTAATTCATACATGGATCTAACATTGTTTAGATAAATAACAAATAAATAATGTAGTAAAAATGAAGACACAGAAAGTGTAAATCAACCTGTAGTTTGAAATCATTTCTATTAAAAACAAATTCTACACTGTATCTTTACTTACAACTCATGAAGCATGTATGAAGTTTTTATCAAATACAAATGTAGATTCTATGTTGTAGTGTTTCTTTTCAGTAGTAGATCATAGATGACGTCAAATGTGTAAGGAACAAAAAAAAAAAGTACCACACAAGGCACATGAATATTGAACATGGAAACTTATGAAATAATAAAGTTACTGCTAGAAATGATAATTAAATTAACTTGATTGTACCCACAAATCAGATAAAGGCTCTTTCTATTTCCATATTACATGTAACTTTAACACTCCTCTGTTCTCTTGGTCGGTTTATAATTACAAACTTTTATTTCAAAGATGATTGAATTGTTGTAAGTCACTTACCAAATCATACCACAGGCCACCAGGTTTAATCAGAAGTTTTTGCCTTGGACCTCCTTTTCTTTCAGGCAAAACTTGGGGGACCTGTGTCACAGTTGATCCTGTAGATTTGGATGTATTTGTGACTTCTGATTCTTTCCTCTGATTTTTCTTCTCTTTCTTTGCACTTTTTTCTTCTTGATCCTTCTTGAGACTTTCCTTAGATTTTACAGAAGTACCTGCACTTTTGTCTTGATTAATATCAAGCTCACTACTGGATAATAATCAATGAAAGCAATTCAAAATCAAACTTTTTTATTATCACAGATCCTCAATCAATACCTTATTTGCTTACCGGCAAAATCGTTTCACTTCAAGTTATGCATGATGGCTATCTAGTATGCCAAGAAGGCATCAATCTAAATTTTTATCAGGATACCCGAGTAATTTTTTTCACTCTACGTTAACATCCACCACTCAAGACTGAGTATGATCGAGCTAGACTGCATGTTAATGAATACTCACTTAAGTTTTTCGCCTTTGAAGGTGACTTTGTCCAAGCCCAGCTCCTTGATGAGTGACATTATCTTATGAAAAAAATAGAGACTGGGTGTGAAAAAACACAATATATCAAGGGTATTTAAAGCTTATCCTCTGCGCGAAAGTTTTATTCGTTTAACAAACGCAAGAGTCGTCGTCGTCTTCATTCACTGGGCATGATAATTGCAATTTGCAATACCTCTTTTTCCTCAACATTTCCTGACGTCTCCTCGTCAGCAGAAAATTCATCTGATATATCAACATCTTTTAACATCTCAAAGTCGTCCTGCCACAAAATGGATGTTAAGTTCAATTATAAGTTACAAAGAACTGCTACATGTGAAATCTATGCAAATGCGTATTTATAAACAAAAAAAAATTGATCCAGATGCGAAAAAAGATTTTAAAATGCTACCAGCCTTGTCTCCTCCGACCGCAAGAACATCCTCGAGTGAAAACTCATGAGAATCTTTCGGTTTTCTTTTCTTTCTTCTCTTCGCAACCTTAGCCTGTTTGTCCGCCATCTTGGAAAGTTGCACGTGTGCTGATCTGACTGTCATGTAGTATGACACAGAGCGTGACTCAAGTACCCTGTCATATAAATATAGACGGAAAATGTCGAGAGGAATCTCAAGGCAATATGGCGGACATTTCGGAAAGCGAAACATTATTATCAAGTGTCTCCGCGTATTTCCAAGACCTGCATGAGTGGAGTTATCGGTGTGAAGGAGCCTGGACTATGGTTTTATCGCTTCGTAAGCTGAAAGCTGTCTTGCGTTTGCGAAAGCGCTATGGTAATAATTCACTTTCCAAAGCAGATCAAGAAAATTGCAACTACATGAGAGAGATCTTACAAAACCTTGAATTCGCTAAGCACGTTATGTCACCACTGATGGGAGAGGACTACGTTCATGTGGGAAAAGTGGTTTCAGTTCCTGAAGTCTTTATATCATCAATGACCGAAATATGCCGAGGTTTGCGTCCCGATCACAGACTTGATAAAGAGATTGACGAAAGTTGTCTATGGGGTGTAGTCATGCCAGATTTCTGCTTTCTACCTTCTAGTGGTATACTCTCCATTGAGACTGAAAATGAAACGAACTATCCAACTTTCTCTGTTGAATTAAAACCAAAGTGTGGCTTTCTTCCTTCGTCAAAGTACATTGATCTCAGTAGAGTAACAAAGTATTCTGTCTGTCAGTATTGTATGCTTCAAAAATCGAAAGTCAAAGAAGGAAAGTACAAGAAAGAAAGCAATTATTGTCCTTTGGATTTATTCTCTGGGGATGTTAGGAGAGTCATGTACGCCTTTGAGTGTCTGGTTTCTAATCCTCAAAATAACTTTCGTGTTTTTTGTGACGGCGTTGCGATCTTCACGGAGGAAATCGTCGAGGGATTTATTCAAGAAGGGATTATGTGTTGTGCAGAGTGGTGTCTTGAGATGGTACTACAAAATGCAAAATTTTTCGTGGAAATTAAAAATGAAGATAAATTGTACGCCAATGCTACAAAAGAGCGCCATGATCTTAGCAATTGTGTGACAACTAGAATGGAACATTGCGTGACAAGCACGATGGAGGGTTGCGTGACAACTCGTGGAAGCAGTATGGAGAATTGTGTGACAAAAGAGGATGATCAGCATACCATGAAGGCAGATGAAAAAGGTAGAGATAACTTTACTACAAATCCACATGAATGTGGTCAAGTTGGTCCCTATTCAAGGAAATTTCTGGAAATTTTGCTGAAAATTTTCATAGATGACTCAAACAGAAGTTACCCCAAAGTGAACGATGTGATTAAGTCACCAAATGCTTCCATGTGTAAAAGAAGCAATTTTCTTAAGTCTAGTGTTGGTATCAACAAAAGTAATAATTATGAGCTGTTTGGGAATGGTGGGGTCCTACAAAATCTTTTGTTAGTGCAGAAATTAGATGCCATTGATGTGGAGGGAATTTACCCTCTGTACAAGAGGGTGTTAAGTTATTTTGAGTCTAACCCAGGACAAAGAGAGAGTCTTGGTGTCGATGGTCCTTTCACCACACCATTATGGCAAAGGGTTGCCTCTTCTCTTCATGGTAACATCTTAGATGCTACTTCATCAGCACCTTCAATTACAGATCGTAACTCTGATCTGAATGACAAAGTGAACACTGATGATAGGCTACTCAAGGTCTGTCAATTTGCTGTTGCCTCTACTGCAAAGGATTGCTCCATGATGGTTTCTTTTCGGAGAGCATCAAAGAAAGAAGCTTCTCTACCAGCCATTGAAATAACTAGTGGTGATATTTATAACTACAACATTGATCTGGTTGATTTGGATCCTAAGGAATTTGATCGTGTAGTGAAATACTATAATGACAGTAGAAAAACTGTGAAGGTCTTCCTTGATCATTAATTAAAAGCATCCTCATCACTGTCATTATCAGTATCTTTATCATCGTCATCAGTATCATCTTGAATAAACAGTGACTTTATTATTCTCATTATCAGTGTCATCTTCAACATCATCATTATCAGTATAATTTTCATCAATATCAGTATCATCTCCATCATCATCAGTATCTTTATTATTATCATTATCATTGTCATCTTCATCATCATCATTATCAGTATCATCATTTTCATTACTATTTCTACCAGCTGTTGGGCTTGATCTACAGCTGCACTGTGTTCCACCACTGGTAGGGTTATGGCCAAAATCCTGTTAAAGAGCCTATTCCAGCCGTTCAGTCAGTAAAATTGAACAAATAATAGGGAACAGTGCAATAGTAGCAGTAGAGTGAAGAAGTGATGGAGGTTTGGCTGTAGGTCAGCCAAAACCTCCCTTGTTTTTGTTCACTTGTCTGCTTCCATCATGCCATTTAACATATAGTGCAAATAACAAAAAGATGATCTCAATAATAAGTTAATTAATAAGTACACAAAAAGCCAGACCATCAAAAGCCTTCATATTATCAATATTTATTGTACTTTTCCAAAAAACATACATCCATGGAAAATAAATTAAAGCAATGCAGCACATGCCATTCAAATTGTTTCTTATTGTTCTTGTTACAAGGTGACTATTATCCATAATCACTTGACCTAAAGGTGCACATGACATAGAGAAGAGTGTATGGCACCACAAATACAAAACTAGAAGAAAAATAATTTCCTGAATGTTTTGTTAATCAGTTATCCAGCTTATTCATGGGAAAATGTCACTACTTACTGCAATGGACATATGCAAAATAAAGGTTTAAATACCACTACATAAATTATGTTGTTGAGATATACTCACAGTACTAGCGAAGCATTGTAATCTATTCTAATGCAAAGTTAAGTACTAAATGTCTACTGTTTGTTGATATTTGTTTGTTTTGCGATAATGGTTATGACACTGAAAATTACACAAGTTTATTGATGGCATTCAATGGTTGCAATTTTCATTTTCTGCTCACAACACAAGAACAAAACCATCAAAAAAAAACAAGCAAACAAACCAACCTCAATGTTTTTCAAAGATCACTTCCCTTCCTTGCTGTGAAATTTATGTTTGATTCAATTTTAAAGCATGTTTGATGAGAGGGAACCAGTGTTGAGTTTTATTTGAATTAATAAGTTATCACAATTGTAAATCATTTCTTTAGTGAACCTTTTAATAATATCAAATTACTAATAAGAATAAGTAGAATTGTTTTTCAATGCAAGGGTAAAACATTGTTATGACTTTGACACATGTTACAGATTTTGATTCAAACTTAAAATTTGATTGCTTTAAAATTAATCCCATCAGCCAATCATTACAAAGAAAAGTGGCAAATAAGAGTTAAAGGAAAACTCAAGTACAGGAACAGGCGAGAGACCAAGCCTTGATTGCTTGAAAATGTGGAATGATTTAGATATGCAAATCACACTAAACAGCTCCAAACATTTTATAGTTCCCTACAGTAATTAATGCTATATAAATGCTACTTTAGGAAAAATAACAAATCTCAAAAGCAATTTTAACAGTCCTAAGGGCAACTAACCCTGAACAATAGAACAATGGCACCTGGGCAAGACAAGCTTAACAAAAACGCATTTATTCCATTGTAAGATCATCAATCCAATCATTTCAATTGGATCTTATCAAGAATTCAACTTACCTAGGTTAGTATTATCTTATGTATTTTCTAACTCTTGAAAACTACACTTGGAGATGTTTAATCTCATTTGAGCTCTTTACACTATTTGACTCTTACTGCAACTTTTGACTCGTTTCTCTTACCCGTTGTACAATGCTGTAAACTGAACCTTAAGAATTCTTGACCAAATAGAGACCTACTTTCCCTCTAGTGGTTAATAATTGCTCTGTGTTACTTTGCATCTAACTTAAACTGCAGCAAATAGCTCAACAATTTTACCATAGCTTAAACCTATTAATGTTTGAAATTTAGAGCCTTAGAGCAAGCAACACATACATGTAAGCAAGTGTCATTCACTAAATTTGCCATATATAGCACTAAATATAACCGTTTATTTAAAGATTCAGGCCTAGGAATTCATTGCAAAACCCTTGCTGAGGTACCAATTTTCTTTAAACTGGCAAAATGGCAGCTTATTTCCCTCTGACGGTCTTCACTTCACTAGTGCTTAAAGGTTTTACACCCCAGATTTCATCTGCATACTGCTTGATGGTCCTGTCACTTGAAAATTTACCAGAAGATGCAATATTCATGATTGCCATGCTGTGCCAGTGGTCAGGATCCTGTGAAGCCAAGCATAACAAGTAAATCTTAAGCTCTTTTACTGGCCTACATGGCAAGCGTATTTTTCAGATCCGCCATACTGGTCAAGGAAAGGGGATCCAGTCGTTTCGTACTCAAGGACGTTTCGTACTCGGTCCATTAGTTCCCAAATTCAGACGATTCGTAACCAGTTTGCGTCGGTTCGTTACTGACTAGCTGGTCGATTCGCATCCATCTCATTCAGTAAAGATAAAAACCTAAGAGATCTCACGAAAAACCTCACGCGCGAGTGCGTGAGCAGATGTCACTGTTGTGCGTTCTCCTTATAAACAATTGCTTCCTAGAATACTTTCTTCTCAGTTAGTCGAGTTTTAAGCGTCAATTGAGATGTCGCATAAACCCCTATCAGCCACATCGCTCATACATTTCAAAGACCCGGTGAAATTGTGGACATATGTATAATGCGGACATAAGTTAAGAATGTTCCCGAATAGAAACATTCTTGGATCTGAATCGCACCTGGAATACTTCGCTGACCCGTTCTTGACATTTCACGTACGCATCAAAATCTCCCATCAGAAGGAACCTGCCAAACAGAAACAGGGTGGGAAAATAAACAATATTGTAACGTGGAGTTTTTAATTGAAGGACTAACAGCCTCTTTGTTCATGTGGTAAACGCCGAGGACTCTGAATGAAAATCTTTGGTTACAAGCGATGCGTTGAACGAGTTCAAAAAAGTCACTGAGAAAAAAAGAATAGATATCGGCGCGCCGCGTAGAACTCCGCGTGGATTACACGGCACTAACTTTCTTTTTTCACCGATAGTTTTTTTTTTTTTTAACTCGTGCGACGGACATCGTCGAAAAGCAGGGAATATACGTAGTCTATCAGGGAAATGATATTCGGTAGAAGTGCGGTCTAACATAAATTTGAATTGTTAGAGATCGGGCAGGCCAATCACTTAAAACGTGGTAATTTGGTATTATCAACTGAGTTGATAACGTAAATTGGCCACCGTTCGGAGTTTCAAAGCTGACGTTTCAAGCGTCAACCGCTCTGACGAAAGGGCTAACGCTCGAAACGCCAGCTTTAAAACTCTTCACTTTGACCGATTTACGTTATCAACTCAGTTGATAATATTGCGTGCTTACCTATCATGATGCAGGAGAGAATTGACAATATCCTGGAAAGCACCAGGTTCAGTCGGTGAAAAGTGATTGTCTCTGATCTGATTGATGGCTTTCCTGAGTTCAGTGTTGTTGTCGTAATAATCCATTGGCTTATAGCTACGAAAATAATTGATTTTATATCAATTATAAGCGCTGCTTGGTGATCTTCTTATATTTTTAAAGTGATTTAATATTTTGGAAGTCATAAATAGCGTACAGCAGAAAATCATGTAAGTCCCCTTGTCCGAAAAAAAAAAAGAGCAGCCAGTTTTTGTAGTGGGATAAAAGTCAAGGAGCAATTGCAAAACGTCTAAAGTAGATGACCTATTGAAAAACTGCAAAGAATTAAGGGGAATTTAAAACCCGGCAAATTTTCCTTGACAAGTGCACTAAAAGAGAACTTTTCCAAGCGTTACCAGTATAACAAAGTGTACCAGTATAAAGTACCAAAGAGTACCAGTACAACAAAGAACCCCGCCCCCCAAAAAATAGCAATAAAAGTGAGAACTCTGTGACGATCCCTCCACGATATCGGGCCTGGATTTATTCTAGTTGCTACAGCGGTATGTAGTCGTAGTTTAAACAATTTCTCAGCTGATACAGCTTTACACCTGAATTTAATGAAAAGTTACTGTATTAATCGCATGTGTTGTTTGTTAATTCTATTGCTCACCCTTTTGCTCTCAAGGAATTGACTTCGTCAACAGTCATTCCAAAGATGAAGATGTTTTCGCTGCCCATCTCCTCCCTCATCTCCACATTGGCTCCATCAAGCGTACCAATGGTCAGCGCACCATTCATCTTTCATTTGAATAAAAACAGGAACCCTTCGATCACTCATTCAATGTGATTTTGAACTTAAAATTTCAACAATTTCACAGTACATTATCACGTTTAGTTATTATTTTTATAAGATGTCACGATTCATATATATGTTTTCGGTACATCGAGCAGAAAGCAACGACATCATTAATTGTTCTTTGCGGAGAAGCGCTCAAAAGTAGAGAAGAATGGGCCGAAACAATTGCCCTAGAGGAGCTAGTTTCAGTAGGGCAAAGTTCAACTTTTACGCGCGGATTTTTGACAATTATTCACATGAATGGCTAGCGGTATGGTATACATCTGTCAATCCTTTAATCCCTTAAGAGTGACCAGCTTCTGATTTCCCCTCACGGTATCACACCTTGAATCAAATAAAAAGCCAAAAGAGGAAATGATCACCAAATTCAGAAGCTCCTGATTGTCAATCGAACGGGAAAGGCCTTAAGCAACGCGAATCGGCGAGAAATCTACGAGGGGTCATGCACCTTTAATGCCAGACCGCGGCAGAACTTTCCCCAACTCGTCTCAAATCTTCCCGCGAGCGGGCGAAACGGAGAAAGGCGCCGCTTAACAAAATTTGACAAGGAAGAGTTAATTAGATCAGCGTACATAAGATGGGAAGGTTGGACATGGTGTCAAAAGGCAGTGTTACATACCATGAATTTCATGTTTCCTGTCCCAGATGCTTCAGTCCCCGCCAAGGATATCTACAACGAAATATAAATATCAGACGATTCCTAACATCCATCAGTTCATCAATTCATCACCCTAAAATACAAAGACAAACTGAGCACTCTACATCACGCGTCGTCAGTCTTAATCACATCAGACACATTGAGCCAGAAAAACAAAAAAGATCGAGTTCCAATTGCAACAGAAAGATGACAATTTAAACCCTTTAAGAAATCGCACTTATTTCTTGAGAGACCTGTGGTGAATTTGTCATAAATTGCTTTGGAACTATAAATCTAATATTGCAACGTACGCAAGTTGCAACATATTCAGAGCTCGTTACAGTACGTATTCTGCTTGGCAAGTCTCGGTGCTGTTTCTAGCTCTCCTATTAAAATGCGCAATCAAGTGATAAAATGAAATGAAGACCTAAGAACGAACAACAAGCTTCAATAAAGGTTGTGCGAATTTACCTGTTCAGAGAGGTCAGCTGCTGGGATAACTGAGGAACGATGTCAAGAAATTCAATTGAAAATGTTAAAAAATTTTGAACATGCACCGAACATGTGCTTCTCCAACTTGAAGGAAGAATTAATTTTCTACGCTGAAGTTGGATGTGCAAAAACATAAACAGTGAAAAGGTCTTGTGGTCTCCAAGTCTTTCATCGTGTGTTATTACAAGGCCCGTCTTCAACACGCCAGAAAAACACGAAATGCAAATGTAACGTACAATGAAGCCTTCCGTCCATAAATGTAAAAATGTTCTCTAAAAACAGACCAGTTTTCGAAAACGCTGACCCATGTTTCCTATTTTTTTTTCATTTACTAGCGTGATAATTAGAGAGAAAAGTACATTACAATCTACTTGTTAGAAAGCTTGAATGAAAAGGATACCCTTCTCAGCAAGTGAGACTCGGTAATTTTCAAGAAACACAAGTTTGAGTTTGTCCCCAATGATTGGATCATTGTTCACCACTACAAAAGAAAGATCGCGCGAAGGAACTAGTTATTACATGCAGAGTAACAAGGTAAAGAAAGCAATAAAGTTGTCTTGCTATCCAGCTATACCAAAACCATAAAAAAAGCAGGCTTGCGTTTTTCCTTTTAACCCTTTCATGCCCAGAAGTGATTAACATGTAACGTCTCCCTATTATATCCATTATCCAGGGAACAAGTTTTGAGAATACCCAAACTTATCAGGTAGAAGTTGTTAGTTATCTTGATCTAACACCGAACCCTCGTAACTATGTTACAAGGAAATGTGTGACTACCAGAAGGGAGAATCAACAATCAAATCTTGGGAGTTAAAAGGCTAAATACATCAAGTTAAGTGTAATAAGTTAAAAGTGTCATCTCCTCTCACTTTAAACATCCATAGGCAGTGTTTTTACTCGTTAAAAAAACAGCAAACAGACGCAAACAAAGTGGAAGTAACGAGTGTCAAATGACAAGCAGGCATTGTTCCTTTGGTACCTAACACTTAAAGGAATAAATAATTCCATTTTTGTGAACATATTCCCACCTTTGGCAATGCTGTTGAAGAGTTTAATGATCAGTTTGGCCATGTAGTAGCCTGGAGCTGCCTGCCAAAACAGAAACACAATTCTCACAATAAAGTAACAAAAAATTGCATTCCCATTTATACATAACGCACATACTAACCTTTCCTCCAATCATGACAGTGCGTGGAACAAACTCCATGCCTGGATTTGCCTTAAGTCCTGTGAATTACACAATAAACAACACAAGATTACATGCTTAATATCCATATCAAGACCACGTTCCCTGGCTGAAAATTTTCCTCATACTACTGATTCAACATCTCTACAACTTTCCATTTATAATATTCATATAAGCACTAAAAACACTCATTTCTACATGTAAGTGATGCCATTTATGTAGTAAATTCAGTAGTAAACGGCGCGAAAGTACCGGAAGAGTGAAATAAAACGAGGGAGTATGGGTCGGGTCTCGTACAATATGCGACCCGACCCAAACCTTCCGCGTCTTCTCACTATAGCGCCGTTTATTATCGCGCTTCGTTTTATTAACTGATCACATAGAAGCGAAGACTATTGAAGTGTAACGAGGAGATACATTGGGTTTAAATGAATCAGAGGATTGCTACATCTCGAATTTACTACGTTCCTATTTTCGGCTAAAAAGAAGTATTCTAAATGTACTTACGGTTGTACATAATTATAACATGAAGACAGTTCATAAGCTGTCTCTTGTACTCGTGAATCCGTTTTACTTGCACGTCAAAAATGGAGTTCACATTGACGTCAATGCCATACTCTTTCTTGATGTAATCTGTAAGTCTGATCTTGTTCTCCTGCAAATGCACATGGTGACGCTAATATTAGCCTTTAATCCATTGATGAAAGAACTTGCGAATCAACTGATGCACGAAAGATTAACGGAAGAATGGTTCTGACGTAGGGCTAACGCTCGAAACATCAGCCTGAGAATCTTTAGGGCGGCCAATTTACGTTATAAACTCAGTTGATAAACCAAGTTTGGTCGTAATACTTCTCTGAAAACACTCATGCAGACTATTTCAGTTATTGTTAGACACATTTTCACATTACGCAGACAGCTCCTGGTCTATGGTGATGGCGTTTCTCCTTTCGGAGGGTCTCCCCATTGTTTGCTATCTAGAAGGCGATATCTATTGAAGTTTAGACCAAATAACTGAGTTTACACGACACATACATGTACAATGTATGTTTTATTTTGTCACAATATGGCCAACATAGGCCAGCACAGCAATGAAACGAGTGATAGTTTTTCCTTGCATTGCAGTATGTATGCAGCTGTTTGCTTATATGTTGTCGGAAACAAGTGCACACGACAATCTCGAAAGGTAATCTGGGTATTCGATAATCAAATGAATTTCAAAACGCGGAACATATAAATATGGACAAAAGGACTTGAGAAGAGGGGAGAAATGTATGTGTACACCAGAGGAACAAAACCATCCAATATTACGTTATAAACATTTTTTTTAGGTCATTTCTGATTCGCTCTCATTGAGTTTGCATCGTTTTCGCCGTTCATTAGGGTCAGTTCGTTCCTTTTTTCGTTTTTCATCAGGTTTAAAATTGTAACCAATATTGCGAAGAAGATAAATTCATCAAACCCGTTGTGCCTCTTCCTTACATAACGTTTCTAAGATTTCCCTGAAATCCTGCGGTCAAGGAACCGTGATCTGAAAACACCTACAATGCAATTCAGAGTTGTCGTGTGCACTTTTGCGCTTTTTCCGAGAATCTTTATATACACACCTGAAATCTGCAGCATCAGAAAACTAGAGCAATGGTCTATAAAACTGTGCTTTAACACAGTCATAGTTTTATGTGAAGACTGGAAAATATTAAAACCAAAGGAATACTAACCTGTTTGCTCCTCATGACAGCATGTTTGAAGGTTCTGTCATTGACATACTTCTCTAACTTTCTGAGCTGAGAAAGATCAGTGATCCATCCTTCACCAATTTTCTACAACAGAATCGCATTAAATATAACATATCAAGTAACCCCATTAAAACAAGTAAAAATTGCTAGTGTCATCCAATGTGAAGGTTTTCTAGCAAAGTAACAAAACAGATGCAGACGCTCGTCATCGAAAGGTTAAAATTCACTTTGATCAACCTTTGAAGGAGAATTCTGCAATGATTATAGAGAGGAAAACACTTGTCATTTGAATGAACGTAAATAAAAAATTAACCCTTTCACTCCCAAGATTTGATTGTTAATTCTCCCTAATAACTGCTACACATTTCCTTGTAAATAAGTCATGAGAATCTGGTGTCACATCAAGATAACAACTTTTATCTGATAAGTCTTTGTATTCTCATTACCTGTTGGCTGGGTAATGAACCGATATTATAGGGAGAAGTTACAAGTAAATCACTTCTGGGAGTTAAAAGGTTAACAGAGTTTTCATCGATTTGTATTACCTCGCAGATAAGATCTGACAACCCAGGGTTGCAAAGAAGAAGCCATCGTCGAGGTGTCACGCCATTGGTCTTGTTTTGAAACTTCTCTGGAAACATCTCATAGAAGTCTTTAAACCTATGAAATTATTATAAATTAGATGATCATTTTAATCGTCAAGTCCAACCATTTGCAGGTTTGCTACTGCATGTACCACATAAAAGAATCTCGTTTCACGATTACATCGTGTGTCAATCACACTTACACAGAGATTTTGAGAAGTTCAGAGTGAAGAGCGGCTACTCCATTGATTGCATGTGAACCAACAATGCACAAGTGTGACATGTTAATGCGTTTTTCAGGTCCTTCTTCCACCAAAGACATTCGTCGCATTTTCTCTAGGTCTCCTGGCCACTTCTCTGTTACTTTCTGCGAACAGATAGTGAAATTACATATTAGGTGGAACGCGTAAGCCCGATCATGCTGAATCGAGGAACAAGAAAAATTTTTCCTAACAAAGTCTCTCTCCATCCCAATAAAAAATAAGTGAATATTGGTCATGGCCAGTGGAAGCCTCAGAGGTTAGAGTGAAAGTAAACCTCCCGTCAACTCCCTCATTCCATCTACAGGTTGTACTGGTTACAATCTGTCAAGGCTAAACAAACTAGAATACAAATTTGTGGCAATAAGTATAAAAGGTGTGGGGGGTCACTGTGGTTCATACATTACACAGATCACCCAATACTATTCCTTACCTTTAGGAAGAGAGCATTTATTTCATAGATGATCTCCAGATGGCGGGGCAGAATGTATTCCAACATGTGTACTGGCCATCTTTCTAATGCTTCAGGAAGAACCGTGTGATTGGTGTAACTGAAAGTCTTCACACAAATATCCCACGCCTATGAAGTCAAAACAGTACACATGTATCGAACAATATGCACCAAGGTGCTACATCATACCTCATATAAGCCTATTAGCTGGTCCTCAGTATGAGTGCCTTCGCATAGGTGTTTCTAATAATTATTTGGTTGCCTTGAGCAACACAAGCCACTGAGAGGTCAGCAAGGGGTCTGGTACTCTCAAATCTTCATGCAGAAGGAGTGATGCACCTCCTGCAGCACTAAGAATGAGGGCCTGTTTTCAGGCCAATCTCGCCTCCATCACACATATTAATTTCTGTACAAAACCGATTTCTTTATGTCAGTGTATTGCAGATACATGAATAAAGGGGGTAAGTTTCTAGGCAGCATATGGCATTTTGCAGATTTTCCCTACATCTTGGCAGTTCAGAAAGCCGCAAGACTCTAGTACAAAAATTTATCTTTCAAATCCGCACTCTTTATCCCCACGGTATATAACAAACGCTTTATTCTTGTTTTTCTTGTTACAATGTCCAATTTCTACACATAAACAAACACACACTACCCACAATTCCTTGATTCACTTGGACAAAGGGCTAATGCTCAAGTGCCAGCATCGTAACTCTTTGTGGTGGCCAATTTACATCAACTCAGTTGATAATACCAAATTACATTGCAGATATACATTTACAGCTTTGTTCCTTCAATTCCTTTCAATCATTCAGAAACGTGGTGACAACAAGTGAACTGTTTCATGTGCTAATCTTGGAGATAAAAAGCCTTTACATATATATTATACATCTTTAGAACCTCTTTTATGTATAGAACATATTTGCATGAAGTGAATCAAATAAATCCAGTCAAGTTTCTCCTAATCCTCAACAAGTTTAAAAAAAAAAACAGCTACAATCTTTTTAAAGTTGAATTTGTTCATTATTTTGTTTGGCCATTTTTTTGCTTTGTATTTTTTTATTTTTCTGTTTCTGCTTATTCCCATTTGCTGTCTTACCTTGTCCCAGCTGAGTTTCTCAATGTCCAGGAATACTCTCATGAGTTCTGGAATGGCTAGAGAAGGATGAGTGTCATTCAGCTGAATAGCAACCTGAAAATACAAAACAGCAGCTCTGTGAATAAGCAAATAAACCCTTAACATCTAAGAGTGACTGACATCTAATTTCTCCTAACATTAACACCCTTAGATAACAGATGTAAGTCACCAGAATAGAAGAAATGATCACCAACTAAAGCAGTTCTTAATTTTTTTGGCAGCACCTTAGGAAATGTATTGAGAACATTAAGGAGAATATGCATACCCATGTTAAGGTGTAGAGGGTTTATCACTTCTCTGTCATCCCTAATTTTTTTTCTTTTTTTGTTACTGTTAAAAATTCAAGTAAATGCATATTAATTCTCCCCTCAATCTTCACATAAATGATAAACAGGTACATGCAGATGATGTCAAGTCCACACATAGCACAGCTACTACAAACGTGACTTTACTCTCAATGAATGAAAGTGATCTTCACTGTGTTGAGCACTACTTAAGTAGTAGTAAAACAAGGGCTGAAAAAACTTTAGGCCTGGATGGGATTTGAACCCATGACCTCTGTACTATCCATGCAGTGTTCTACCAACTGAGCTAACAAGCCAACTGGGAGCTGGTCATTATGTTGGCATGCAAAAAAAAACCTGTGAGGTGACATTACGCAGACAAGAGACGAGAATAAAGAAAAATATCAATTAGAAGATTATTAGTGGATCAAACATCAAATTCTCCCAACTAACATCACAAGAATCCAATTGCAGACAGTAGGGAGAATTACTAATGAGATCTGCAAGCAAAAGGGTTAACACTGAATAATTAAGAATCCTTCCACTAAGGTAATTCTGGAACTTACCTTGTCAGGAAAATCCTCAAAAGTTGTGCGAACAGCTTCTCTGGAACCAAATTTTGGGGCTTTGTATCTTCTAACAATGTCAGTGAGTGTGGCAGAAACCATGAAGTACTGTTGCTTCAAACGCAGTTCCTTCCCCTCAAAAAACTGAAAGAAAATAAAAAAATTTAAGGATATTCATGCTGAGTTAATTAGTAATGAGTAAGTAAATTTCGAGAGCAATTTTCAAATGAGCATCAAAAGTAATCCCAGTTTACATTGGTTTGCTTTACTTCACTTTGTGATTGGTTCAGAAAAGTTGTGGTACTTTATCAGTCAATCAGATGCAAACTAAAACCATTCAAAGATGTTGTTACCCACAGGTACTTTGGTTGGGTTTACTTTGAGGTCTCATTAGTTCTTAAAGTTAATTTCTTTTCTTCTGATCACCACTGAAATTACAAAACATCTTACATTATCATTTGGGTATAGAACTCTTGAAATATTCTCCGCCACATTTCTGTCCAGTACAGCTTTTATGTAATCTCCATCGTTAACTGGAAAAAAGTTTAAAAGAATGAATACAAAAAAAATATATATTTTTTAAAAACGACAATTAACAACTAATTAAAGTAGTTATAAATCAACTTGATGCACTGTGTCTGCCATTAGTTGAAAATGTAAATAGATGTTGGCACATCAAACACACATTGGATATATCCATAAACATAGATCAAGAACAGTCAAATACAGATTTATTTCGAGCTAATAAACACATGAATTGCTCTTTACAGATGACTGCAAAATTAAAAGACAAAGTGATAGGGGTTGAGGTTCTTTATCAAATTGCAAACATGTATGTTACCACCAAAAGAGAGAGAAAAAGGGAAGTTCTTGCTGAGACAGTGCATGTATCTTTCTTGGCATGAAATAAAGCAAAATGTACTCTCATATACAAAAGCCACACACTCCAAGGAAAAAAGTTTTGATAGCACTGAAAATGCAAAAAAAAAAAAAAAAAGCCCTAGGAAAAAAGTCTGCATCTCATCACAGAAAGAACCTTTTCACTGCCACATGACTTGCCACTTGAGTATCCCTGACTTCAGTAGTTACTTACAGTATGAAAGATCAAAACTCTTTGGAGATTTAGCTGCCCACAGTCTCATGGTGTTACAAGTGTTGTTGCCATAGCCAGGGATGGGTTGATCATAAGGCATAGCATACACTGTACTTGTATCAACCCAGCGCTTTGTTTTGCCAGTTACGTCTGACTCAACTCTTCCATAAAAATGAACAGGGATCATGTACTCTGGTCTAGCCTTTTCCCAAGGACATCCAAATTTCAGCCAGTCATCTGGCAACTCAATCTATGAAATGGTGAGTGACATGACTCATTCTGTATTGTTGAGTTAAAATTTACTTTCTAAATAAATTAAAAACAATTCAAGTTTTCATTTTAATTTTAAAAATTCCCCTTGCCACTGACAATAAATTTTTTCTGTTATTTCATTCTGAAATTTTTCACCTCATTAAATTTTTTTCTGTTAGTTTCATTCTGAGAATTTCATTTTGGATCAACAAATCACAATCACAATTCTTTTTCTGTTAGTGTCATTCTGAGAATTTCATTTTGGATCAACAAATCACAATCACAATTCTTTTTCTGTTAGTGTCATTCTGAGAATTTCATTTTGGATCAACAAATCAAAATCACCCAGTAACTGATATTCTCCTCTTTCTCCTTTCTCTTCAGCTTGATATTGTATCAATGTTGTAAGGAGAAATTCTGTATTGGTCAGTTATGGGGGGTTAACTGGTGATCACAAGGCATGGAACTTATATCTTGCCCATTGAAACCTGTACCATGGACATGCACTTTGGCCCTTGTCACCAAGTAACCAAAGCATCTCAATGTTATTCCGATGTATTCCATACATTTTGAGACATTGCTTTGGGTCTTTGGGTTCTTTTGGTAAATAAATATTTTTTTCTGTCTAACTTGTTGGAAATAAGGAAGCTATAATTGTAACCTAATAAATAATATACCAATTGCTCTTTTTAGGCTACAGAAGTACATCATCACACAAAATTACTGTTTAACCCTTTAACTTCAAGAATTGATCAACATGTTACTTCTCCCTACCACATCCAAACTCTACCCAGCAAACAGGTAACGGGAATACTCAAATTTATCAGGCAGAAGTGATCTTGATTTAACACCAAAATCTCATAACTAATTTACAATGGAATGTATAACAGCTGGAGGGGAGAATTAGCAATCTGATCAAAGGTTGATAGCAATGAATACAACCAAAACACAGTGTAGCTATCATCTGGGAAATTTTTCCCAGACAGAATTTGGAATGTTACCTCAGTTAAAGCTTTATTCATCTGACTCGTAATAGTAAATATTTAATGGCAGACATGAAACCAAGGAAAAAAAACAACATATATATATATATATATATATATACAGCTGTAACACTCGCCCACATAAAGGAGGGGTAACAAAAGGAAAAAAGTTATTTCACAGACCTGATTTCCATGACTGTCAACAGCTTGTTTGAATATTCCATATTCATATCTGATTCCATAGCCATATGCAGCATAACCCAAGGTAGCCAGTGAATCCAAGAAGCATGCTGCCAATCTTCCAAGACCTCCATTTCCAAGACCAGCATCTTCCTCAACTTCCTCTAACTCTTCCATCTCAAGGCCAAGCTATATCAAGCATAAATAATTCCCTCAAAATTACAAAAACTATACTCTTAACAGTAAATAATTTCACATCAGGGAATGTGGGTTGAGTGAGGAAAAGTCAACATTTTTCAAATAGTGTGACACAAATATAAATAGAGAATAATACATGGGCACGCATGGGCACTAACTCTTAAGATGGAAAAATGCATTGAATCATGATTACAAAACCAACAATGGTCATAATTTTCAATTTATAAAATTCTCATTTATTGACTTTGTCCTTACCGACACAAGAAGTCTTTCAGGTAAATGGCCAAAATCAGCCAGTGAGAAATCTTCCAGTTGTTGATTTTCATTCTCAGCTGAGAGAAATCCTAACACCAAAGCCACTGAATATGTAACTTTTGGTTTTTCTTTTAAGTATATTGGTTTTCTTCCCCTTCTGGGAAAGTTTGAACCTCACTGTCAGCAATACATATTTTTTAGTGTTTCAGCTGCCATAATTTGAAGATTCTCAAGACAAACAACTTGTAATGAGATTTTGCAAAGGCTTTGCCATTCATTTATCAACTTGATTGAGTGGTGCCAAAGGCAAGTGACGTGTCAGTAGCTGATTGGCTATATCAACACATGTGAAAAAATATGATATTTTTTCATATGTGTTGTTACGACTTTTCTCAGGGCTGAAAATCCCTGTATAACACCACAGTTTATGTGATAAAATTCATTCTTTAACATCAAAAAGTGCCTGGGTTCTGATTTTTCCTTACAGTATCACCCTTTAATCTGAGATGTAAAGGTCATGAGAATAAAGGTAACGATCAATAACTGAAGAACCTCCTGATTGTCAAAAAATTATCCTTCTCAAAAACACAAAAAACATAGCGAGAGTTGTGCCCTAAAGCACAGGCCTTACCTGGTACATGGCTTCATCACATTCTCCTTGAATGCCTAGATTGATCATAGTGTTTGTGAGCGCGCGGCCCATGTAATACTCCAGTGAAAGATAATATACACGCTGCCAATGTAAAAAAGTAAAAAAATACTGAGTTTGCCTGATCAATACTGAAAGTTCCATGGTAATAAAAGAAGCCAGTTGGTGCTCAACAAAGTTATATTATGTTATGTGATGTTAACCCAGTAACTCTATAAGTGATTAAGACAGAATTTCCATACAATATCAAGCACACAAGTGATGAGAATATGCAAAAATATCAAGAAGATTATTAGTTGATTTAATACAAAATTCTCCACACCAGGTCAACCCAATAATGGTAACAGTATAAATAACAAAAATAATATTACAACTGTGCTTTTAGAGACCTTTAGAAAAGACATGATTTTTTTTGTTAGGAGGTACATGTAATAACCAAGCAAGTTTTAGATCTCACTCTGAAATAATATTTTTTTTCACTAGACATAAAACATCATTGCCTTGGGTTTGGTTTTATGCCACTAAATCAAAAAGCATTTTAATTTTGTAACATAACTTGCTGCTAATCACTGCACAATTATGTGTACCCATAATATAAATATTCAACAAAAAGTTATCTACATCATTAGACACTGTATACTAGAAAATCACTCTTTAATTTTTTAGTTCTTTTCCTCTAAGATCATTAATACAAACTGCTGTCTTTTAAAATATGGCTCATGAGGGTTTTCTGGGTGCAGAATGAGGAAAATCACCAAAGAAAATCAAATCCAGCTGATTGACATTTTTTCCTTGTTTAGTAATGATCTTCGTATGAAATTAACCCACAAACCCTAAAATTCCTTTAAAAAAAGGGGTGGACATCTACAAATCATTGTTATTACTTATTTAAACCTTTGATAAATTACTGGATATTAAAACATCTAACAGATGTCCTGGAATGTCATCAAGCATAAACACTATTTGCTCTGCCTTGATCCTAATCAAACAGAATTTTTCATTATTTTGGAAACCTGTACTTCGTAACCTGTGGTTTCCTACATTATATTGACAGCCTAATTATTGAGTGAAACTGTTGGAACGGATCAGTTCAAAACAAAGTAATGCAAAAAAATAAGTTCAATTACCACAACAACAAAAAACACAAAACAGAACAAAGTGCGTAAAAAAAAATGTTAATTCCTACAATGTCGCGCATAAGTGGGTCAACTGAACTTGACCAGTTGATAACAATTTGATGCCTGCCAATAATTTATGCAAAATAGGAACGTGTTTTCTGTCACGGTTGTGCTCTTGCAACCGCAAATGCCTGCACAATTTTTGATGACTTATATATTCTTTACAAAACCTTCCAAGCACAAAAGCAATCAATATAGAACAAAAATGCCGTTCAGACGTAAGCTTTAAAATTGTGGCCTAGCTCCAATTCAACATACACAGGGGTTGGAAAAACAAGTTCACGATTTCTGTGGTAGAGGGAAATAAATGCTGTTAAAAAGCCGGTAGGTTGAACTTTCGCCAAATGAAAGCAGAAAACAATCATGGTTAAAACAAATGAAAAATTCCTTCTCCATGAACATCTCTAAACCAAACACACTTCTAAAAAGATGAATTGTGTTTTTAAATATGGATGTTGGTAAATTTAGTACGGGTCAAAATGAAAAGACCACTACAAAATACATTAATACCTTGGGATCTTTCTCGTAATAAGCTTGCTGTGTTCGAATCCACTTTCCAACTAATTTATCCTTCACTGTGTGCGCCAAAGAAGCGAAGTAGTCGCGTTTCGTTGCTACGTTTCTGTCCTTGACGAGCGAGTAGTGCAAATGGCGATTAAAAGCTTCTTTTAGACTGTTCACACCTTCCACGATCGGGAGCCGTCGAAGAGATATTTGCCTCTTCCGTTCAGCATCCGTCAACGGTTTCTCACCCATAGTGCAAGAAACACTGAGTTTTCACCGATAAATAAACAGATCCCACAGTCTTCTTTCGACCTTCCAAAGTAGCTCTCGCGCACTGCCTACGATTCTGCTCTGCAAACAAGGAACATCACGTAGGTTCCAGTCCCTGCACTTCACACTCCACGGAGTGAGCCACGCAATCGACACGTAGATTCACGCAGTTGCCACGCTGAGGACAGCTATCACGCGTCAAGGGGTTAAGTTCCGTAAATTTTAGCAACCAGGTCGTGCTTAGAAATTGTGTGAAAAAGAATTGCTTAAACAAACTCATCGAGCTACTTCGTAGGGAAGAAATTCATAAATATATTTCGAATGGTTAATACCATTCCTTCATACGGATATTTACTTTATGTTTCATAAAATAATTACACTTTGAACCCGTAACATAGTCATATTCATCACTTCACTGGTTGTCACACCATATTACGTCACCAGTTCCTTGCTAGGGTCTCTCCCCCTGAAGAGGGCGTCGTTGACCTCGTCATATTATACAGCTTCAATCCTAAGGATCGGTCATTATTTTTCGCTCGGGCTGCGGGGGGGAATGTTACATGGCTTACAGGAGAACAGTGGGGGATCGGTCATCGCCAACAGAGTCTAAAGGAAGGGCTTCAGAGAGCTCGCGAATTGTGAACTGCGAATGAGGAGAATCACAAAAATTTTGCAGAGCTCTAGGAGGATCGATAAATTTTGTCGTGACACGTCAAAAATCCTTAGACTTCCCCTCTCCCCCTCTCCCTCCTCCCTCGCAGGTTAAGGTTCCCCCTCCTCTGTTTAACGGCAGGAGCTATTGCCTGATAACGGTTAATGCTGATCCGCGCATCAAGT